CAATATGCTCAGGTGGGCTGCCTGGTGGCCCAGCTAATGGAGCTCCGCCCACACACTCTGTACCCGACCTTATACTCAACTGGGCTCTGCGCCCCTGCTGAGGTGTGGCACAGGTGCGGGCCCACCTTGTTCCTTGAGTTTGCTCTCCGAGAATCAAGCTCGGCTTACGTGGGCTGGCGCCTCCATTACAGCCCCCTCAAGTCCCCCTAATCTCAGTGTAGGGCATTGCAGGCCCAGGGGACAGAGGTAGAGACCTGGGCCCTGCCTGGCACATGGAGATACCGTGAAGGGTGGTACCAGGTGAAAGATGGGCGTCTCAGCCTTCTGCAGGCCAGAGTGGCGGGCAGGAGGGTGGCAGCCAGGCCTTGGCCGGGGGCTGAGCCAGTGGGGCTGGGCTGCGTGCCAAGCGTGAGTGTTCCTCCAGCCCACGGGGAGGGGAAGGCCTTGCCCCACCTTCCTGCTCCGACCGCAGTCCCCCCTCCCTGGTGACTCAGCACTGAGAGCTCGGCAGAACCACCTGGGGGGCTGGGGAGGGGGGGTGGGAGGCGGTCGGGGGACTCTGACAGCTGGTGCCCTGTCCTGTGCCTCACGCAGGGACGCCGGCCCTCAGGTGGGTTTCCACTGGGCGTGCGGGGGCCGGGTCCCGTCCTAGCTGCGTGTGGGCCGCGAGAGCCCCTTGGCTTCCCTCACCTCCAAGCCCAGAGAGGTGAAACAGTCTCCAGGATCCACAGTGTGAACCTGCCAGTCCCACGGGGTCCCCCAGCCTCTGGGCACCACCTCATAGGCTACAAAGGAAGGTACCAACCCCCTGGGCAAGACAGCCCTGGGGACTGGCCTGGTGGGGCACGCCCCTCTTGGTGCCCACCTGTGGGGCAGCATGCCCCTTTCACACCAGCCCTGGGGGGACATCCAACAGCTCTGTATCTGCCTCTGGGCTTTGATCTCTGGGAAACAACTATGTTGGGCCCTCTGGTCCCTTTGCCTTCCAGGAGCCCTGCCCTGCCCCCCAGAGTCCCTTCCTGGTTTGGGGCTGTGAGGACCCCTCCCCTGCCCCAGCCTGCTGCCCGGTTCGGGTTCTTGGGGGCAGGGACCACATGGCTGGCTGTCCAGGGCCTGGCACACACTGGGGATTGAAGGACATCTCCCACCAGCCCCCCGTCTAGGTACCCTTTCCCCCAGGATCCCACTAGGGTGTCGCCCACCCCTTCTGGAGGCATCCTTCCAAGAGGCTCCTGCAGTGGGTGGCAGCCCAGCGTTCCCGGCCCCCAGGGCCTACACACAAATGGGGAAGTTGCTGTGGACCCAACACTGGTGAGGGGTACAGGGCAGGGCATTTCCCAATCCCAGAGGGAAGTGGCTTGCTCAACGCCATGTTGAGGTTTGTGCCCACACCAGCCCCACCCCCAGTTGCTGTGTGTTGGGGGCACCCCATGGAGGCCTGCAAGGGGCATTCCACAGCGAGGTCAGCTCCGGGGCCAACGCTGGAGGAAGGAGCTGGAGTCCCGGGCTGTCAGGACGGGACGTCCTTGGGCAGCCCCCTGGTGCTCCCTGCATCTCCCTCGGGTACTGTCCTGGGAGGGAGCGTAGTGTCCAGGCCAGGCTGCCCACCCAGGGGCCACTCTGGCCACCAAGTCAAGCTGTATTACAGGATCCTGGAGCCACAGCCCAAACCCAGCCCTCTGAGCCTCGGCCCTTCCTGGCTTATGCCACCTGACAGCAGAGTCAGCCTGCCGCCCAGTGTTGAAATCCACTCTGGGCTTTGGCGCTGGGAGCACAACAGAAGCAGGACACAGCCCCTCCGGCCTCAGTGTCATCTGTAAAGTGGGGAGAGATCCAGGACCACCCGAGGGGTGGCCATCCTCTATGGTGCACCAGGAAGCACGGCCCTCTCACTGGCCCTCCAGGGCTCCTCCAGTGTTGTTACTACCCTAGAACAATTACTGAGCTCCAGCTGTGTGCCCTGGGAGCAGCGCAGTCCAGTCCTGGCTGTGCTAGTTGCCATTGGGCTGGGCAGGGTCCCTCACTGTTTCCACTCTGTGACGAGGTGACCACAGGGTGGCCTGGGGGAGCTAGCCCTGGGGGGCTGTTGGCCGGCGCAGCCCAGGGGAACAGTCTGTAGCGGACTGACGGGTGGCCCCGAAGAGACAGGTTCCGGTCCTAACCGCCAGCTCTTCGGGATGCGACCTCACTTGGAAATAGGGTCTTTGTGGGTGTAACCAGTTCAGATGAGCTCACTCGGGAGCAGGGTCCTGATCCAGTAGGACTGGCGTCCTTATAAAAAGCGCAGCACGTGGAGACACAGGGAGAAGGCCAGGTGCCGATGGAGGCAGACACGAGAGTGACGTGGCCCCAGACCGAGGGACACCGAGGAGTGCGGGTCCACGCTAGAGGCTGGAAGAGGCAGGAAGGGTTCTAGCCAGGGCCTTCAGCAGGAGCAAAGCCTTGCAGCCGCCTTGAGTTTGGACTTGTGGCCTCCAAAACTGTTATCTTAAGCACACCCCAGTTTGTGGTCATTTGTCCCCACAGCTCCAGGACACCCAGTCAGCTGTCAGCAACAGGGGTTGTGGCAGGCTGGACGAAGCTCACAGGCCCTACAACCATAGGGTGAGCGGAGGGCGTTCTGAGTCGGGGAGGGGAGGGTGTGAGTCTGGTCTCCCAGGCAGACTGGGAGAATGTGGGGTCTGGCCTGATGGGTGGGGAGACCACGGGGAGAGAGGTGTGGAGCAGTCAGTGATCAGAGGTGCAGGCAGGGAGGCTGTAGAGGGGGCCAGGTCACTCGGGTCACTGAGTGTGGATGCTGGCCCCAGCGGGGGTTGCCGTGTGTCAATGCTATCTTTGGTGGGCCCAGGAGGCCGGAGTCCCTGGAGGACAGGGGAGGGCAGGCTCTGGCTAGGTGGCCACTAAATGCTGGTTAGATAAGTGAGGGATGAGAGGCAGTGAGGGGCCTCAGGCGGGTGTGGGCACTGCTGAGAGGGGCGCTGGCCAGATGGGGGCAGAGACTTTGGAAGGGCTCTGCAGGCCTGACTCTGGTGGCCAGATGTCCCTTCACCTGCCCACAGACATGTACTTGGCTACTGGGCATGGGGTGTGGATAAGGAGCCCCAGGGAAGCTGACTGGCCGGCCTCGGAGGGGCCGTGGGGGCTGGCCATGTGTGAGAAGGCTCCCGGTAGGGCCCACTCTGGCCTCTACCATCTTGTCGGCTGTGTGACGTGCAAGGGGTGGTGAGTACGGCGCCTCTCTGGGTCTGGTACCCCCGAAGCCTTACTGGGATTCTGGTGAGAGGGTTAGAAGTTCTGGGGTTGTTGGGATCCTGAAGGGGCAGGGAAGGTGCGTGTCCCCCCAAAGGGCGGTAGGAGCTGGCCCTTCCCACGAGAAGTAAGGCCATGCTGTGCCTTGGGGTTATCATAGGTTCAGGGGTGGGGTTGGGCTTAGTGTTGGGGTTACTGTAGAGTCAGGGTTGGGGGCCTAGGATGGCGAGGAATGGAGCTCATTGTTAGGATTTGTTCTCCTTCAAACAGGCAGGTCCCATAGGCACCTTTGTTTACCCCGACACACCTGGGGCCCCTTCAGGGGGCTGAGCCAGGACCTGAGTGGTTCAGTGTTGTTTCTGACCCTCCAAGCAACAGGGAAGGGAGCATGTTCTCCCACCGTGTGGAGAAGCAAACCGAGTTCTGGAAAGATATAAGACAGGAGTGGACCAGGATTTGAACCCTGGCTCTCTGACGGCAGGTTACCCCAGTCTGGAGGCAGCAAGGGGGCCCAGGACCTGCGGGATGCAGGTTCAAGGTTATGGGGACCCCCTACAGCGCCTCCAGACACAGCTGTTTTCACTTGGTTTCTGTGCAAGATGTGAAATCTTCCACTTTTCATGAGGTTTGAATTATTGATCTGCTTGATATTTAGTAACTCCTGGACCTCCCTCCAGGAGCTGCCTCCTGGAGCAGAGTCTTTCTAACCATTAGCTGGATTGGGACGTCTGTCCAGCACTGGCAGGACCCGCTTGGGGATTGGCCTGGGGCAGCCAGCCAGCCAGCCATCCGGGTGGAGAAAACACAGACAGACAGGTGGGGTGGGACCGAGTGCGGACAGGTGGCTGTGTCCCCTGGGCTTGGAGCCCCACCCAGCCTCGGGCCAGGTGCGCTGAGCATGCGTTTTGCCTCGGCTTACTGGGCCCATCGGGTCCTCTTCAGGCCCTGTGGACCCTCAGAGGCTGGCGAAAGCTGTCCCTAAAGCAAGCTGCAGGGGCCTTGGCAGAAAAGTCTGCCGTTGCCTCGGTGAGTGAGGCAGGCTGCCTACAAAGGTGATTTCGTTTTGTTTTGAACTTAACAGTGGAACAGAAAAACAAAAGCGCACAGGTTAGGAGTACACACAAACTGATGAATTCTCACACACAAAACACACCGTGCAACAGCGTCCAGAAGACCATCCCACCCGGCCGGACTACGCCCCCTTCTCTGCTCGAGCGGGGTTCCCCCCCGACCCGCGTGCCCTCCTCCAGGCTGCGTCTTTCACGGCCCAGGCGTGATGCTGGGGGCGTGGAGGTCTAGCCGTCCGCGCGCAGCCCCGGTTCCCCCGAGGACCCCCGCCCGGGGCAGCTCCGGGCCCCCCTCCCACCGACCCGGCAGCCCCACCCGCCCCACGTGCATGCCCAGGCCCCTTCCCACGCCCTCCTCGAGCAGCCCCGAGCCCTTCGCCCTGCTAAGTACAGTCCGGCCCCCGCCTGCGCAGCCCGCAGCCCCGGCCCGTCGGGGCAGCCAACAGCTTCGCGGCTGCGTGCTGGGTGCGCTCGGGGCCGGCGTCCTGGCGCCCCTCGGCCCAACTGGGGAGCCTCGGCCGCCTCCGCTCCAGCCCGCCGGGATCGCCGCCCTCCCTCCGAACTCCGCGGACCCTCTCCCGGCGTCGGGTGGGCGCGGGGGACCCTCCATCCGCCGCTTGGCGCCTGCGCGCGAGGCGGATGAGAGGAGACCGGAACCGTGCGCCGGCGCTCGCGTTTCCGGCCGGTGGCACGAGAGCGCGGCCCTGAGCGCGCCCGGACCGCGGCTGCCCGGCTCGGGTCACCATGGCAACGCGGCGGGACCGGAGGCCGCTCCCGGCGGGCGTGTGCGCGGTGAGCCGCGGGCGCGGGGCGCCGGGGGGCGGCGCGGGAGGCTCGCGTGGAGCTGGGGGTGCCCTCAGGGCCGCTTCCCGGGCCTCCTTCCACGGGTTCGCCTCTTCTCTTGGCGGTCGGGGCAGCCGCGGACTGGCGGCGCCCTGCTCCGGGCCGGGGCCGGGGCCGGATGGGTCGGGCCTCCCGGTGGGGGCGCCTCCCCCGGTGCGGGTGCCCCCGCCCCGCCCTCTCCCCCCTCCTCGTGCGGGTGCCCCCCCGCCCCGCGGGCACCCCGCGCACACCCTCCTCGTGCCGGCCGCCCCGCGGGGGCCCGTCGCGCCGACAGTGAGAACGGGTTCAAGCGCGGGCGGGCGCGTGCGGGCGCGTGGTTTTTTTTTCGGTTATCTGAGACTTGCACAAAAGTTGGAAAAGCAGTACAAAGATTTCTGCTCTTCCTTTTGCCGAATTGCGTTAACGTGTTCTACCCCAGGCCATTTAGCGAACTGAGGAATTGAGCGCTATAGGACAGAACCGGGGTTCGTGCCCGCGCCCCGGTTCCCTGCAGGTCCCCTGTAGGACCTGCGTGGGGCCCACCCTTCTTTCCTCTGGACCGGTTCCGCAGTGTTCCGTGGACTTTTAGGAATTAGCTGTTTTGTAGAATGCCCCTCAGTTTGGGTTTGTCAGATGTTTCCTCATGATTAATTTCAAGTTATGCATTTTTAAAAAGACTTTATTTTAAAATAATCTCTACACGCAGTGTGGGGGTGTAACCCCTACCTGGACTGAGCCAGCCAGGCGCCCCTCCAAGTTACGCATTTTTTATAAGGAAACCTCAACAGTGAAATGGTGCTCTTCTCGGGAGGTACATGATGCCAATTTGTCCCATGCCTGGTGACACTTGGTTAAGTGGTTTACGTATGTCTCTGTTATAGTTACCATTTTTCCTTTGGTAAATAATGAACACCTTGTGAGGAGATACTTTGAAGCTGTGTAACCGCACTTTCTATCACAAGTGTTTTCTGAAACAATTATTGATTGTATTTACCAAATAAAGATTTTTCTATTTCCCTTATTCTTTCTACATATTAGTTGGAATTCTACCGTAAGAACCTTCTGCCCCCCCCCAATTTTTTTAAGTAGGCTCCACACCCAGTATGGGGCTTGAACTCAGCACCCAGAGATCAAGAGTTACACGCTCTGCTGACTGAGCCAGCTGGGTGCCCCAAAAAGCTTCCCTTCTCCCCATTTTTCTAGTTATTTATTCATGTTGGTATAGATGTTTTTATTTTATTTTTATTCCATCAGTTATAATCCATTGCTGTAATGTATTTTGTTGCTAATTCTCCAGATTTGGGTGTTGGGAGCCCCTTCAGGTTGGCTTCTGTGTCCTCTCAGCATGCCCCCTGACATTTCTCAGCACCACCCCACGTTCAGGCTCATCTTGTGCTTTCCGTGACTTAGCCTGAATCCGTCACGTCTCTAAGGAGCTCTGGTTCCTCTTCGTTTCGAAGGGGGTGTTCAGAAATCAACGTCAGGTTGTAGGAATGCTTACTGCTCCTGCAGTGTCCTTGCTTTGTGGCTTTCTCAGTGGGCAGAGTTAGGAAACCAGACCTGTCTGTATCCGTATGTACAGATCTGCGTATATATTAAAAGCTGTGAGTTTATATCGATACCTCCAATCAGTTACCCCCAGGTTCGTTCTGCATTCCTTTTCCTCTTTAAATCTGGTTCCTGTTGTCAATGTATTTACTTACATGTTCAATCCTAGACTACACATGGAGTAATTTCAGAATTGCCAATCCGTATTTCTGTGAAAAACCTATTAGCTAGAATGTAATACTTGCATGCAGTTGTTTTTATCCTTAGAATATATAGTCAATTTTTTACAAAGTTATTTTAGTGCATTTATATGGGTTTTTTCATTTATGTTAATCATTTGTAAGAAAGTTAGGTTCACTTGTTTCTATTCATCTTTCGTTATGAGTCCTTATGGATTTTTAGTTTTGGTATGTGAACCGTGTTCTAAAAGTCAGCAGCTCATGGGGCACCTGGCTGGCTCAGTTGGAAGAGTACAGGTCTTGATTCCAGGGTCATGAGTTCAAGCCCTACGTTGGGTGTAGAGATTACTTAAATAAGTAAATAGACAGGGGCACCTGGGTGGCTCAGTCAGTTAAGTGTCTGCCTTTGGCTCAGGTCATGGTCCCAGGGTCCTGGGATCGAGCCCCGCATCGCATCAGGCTCCCTGCTCTGTGGGGAGCCTGCCTCTCCCTCTGCTGCTCCTCCTGCTTGTGCTCTCTCTCTCTGTGAAAGAAATAAAATCTTAAAAAAAAAAAAAAGTAAAGAAACAACCAAAAAATAAGTCGACGGTTTTTAACTATAAGATGATTGAACTTCCCTTCCACTTTATTTCTCATTTACTCACTTAATTTTTTTTTTTTAAGATTTTATTTATTTGAGAGAGAGAGCACAAGCGGGGGGTGGCAGAGGCAGAGGAAGAGGGAGAAGCAGACTCCTCGCTGAGCAAGGTGCCCCTACTCACTTAATTTTTATTTGTTTTTTGTTTTTTGTTATTTTTGGCAAAGGAATTTGGCAGGTGTAAATTCCAATAAAAAAGCACCACATACCCCCCCCCCCCACTGTAGTGGTACCCCTACCTCCAGCAAGTGCCAGCCGTGGAATTAAGATCCATCTGTGGCTCATCTCTCTTATTTCAGATTTTGCAGATGGTTGTGGGGACTATTTGGCAGTCAATGAAGGATGGGAAAAAAGGCTTGTGGTCATAGGCCCATGATTTTCATCCCCTAGACACGCTGAAAGAGTCCACGTACCGAGTTTAGCTCAGACAGCCCATGTTGGGATTCCAGAGGGCGCCAGCGTCGAGTCCCAGCTTGAGTGTAGAACAGATGAGCCACCTCTGGACTTTCCTTCAAGTCCCACAAAAACATTTTGTAAATTAAATTCACTAAATATGTTTATAGAGCAACAAGATAACATTCCTTATATGAACTCAATTTGGGTTCTTCTGCATTAGGAATGGTGGGGCTTATCTTATTAGTGGCTGAGTCCAAAGCCAAATGCATCCGGAGCTGCAGTCCTTCAGAGGAAGGAGGTAAAAAGAAACCCCTGCTTTGGATGTCTCTTTGCTTAGCCTGTGTGCCTAAACAGCTTGTCCGTAAGCGTCTAGTGACCGACTTTTACCCTTTACAAACATTCCCTTGTGTAAATTGTAGAGCCTGTAGCTGCTTATGTTGTAATGAGGTCATGCAATGCTTTTCCAGTTAAGTACTTATCAAATGTTTATTGTAAAACAAATTGCTCCAAATTTTTGGTCAACTGCACAGAATGTGATTAATTCTAATGTCATATCTGCAGATTGGGTACCCCGCAGGTTCATCTCTGACATGTTTTACTCTGATGATCTGGTCTCCTGCGGGAGTGGTAAGATTCATCCATGGGACAGAAGCATGCTGTCATACTCCTTCCCTGCTCACCCAGCTTCTAGACACTGCGGGAGGGGTGGGGGCACGCCCAGGACGAGGCGAGCTCCCTGCAGAGCCCCCTGTGCTTGGAAAGCCCTTTACCTCCCATGTAGTTCTTTGTGGTTCACTGGGTCTCATCTTTGTCCCGAACTCTTCCCTCTTAACCATGGTACCAGCTGTCAAGAAGACTTGGCCTGGGCCCCGCCTGCGGCTCCGGCAGCCTTCGGCTCCATCCTGATTTGTGAGGACTTGTCTGAGTCTCTCACTAACTGCAGGTGCCGACCTCTGAGCCCCTCTCTCCCCGTGCTCTGCATGAGGAGCGCCAAGCCCCGGGTGTTGCCCCTGCTTGCCTCTGACAAGGCTGCCCCTGTGGTCAGGGTCACCCGCTGCGGACCACTGGCGAGGTTCGGGTGAGCGAGTCCCAAGCTGCTCCACACCCCTGGCGGCCCTGTCCTAACACGAGGGGCGCAGTCGTATGTATTTTGCTGACTGAGGTCATCTTCCAGGTGGGGCCTCTGCCGCCTGTGTCCGTTTGGGGCCTGCAGGTTTTCCGTGTGTGGGAGACCATGGTTTTCATGAGGTGTTCTTTCCATCTTCCTAACACCTGGGGATTTCCAGGTGCTTTTCAGACCTGACAGTTTTGAAATAAGGGTTAGAAAGTTCAGTGTTTGACCAATGAGAAAGAGTGATGGCGTGGCCTAGCATGGCTCTTTTCCATCCCCGGCTCTCCTAAAACACTCAACTCCATGAGCAAAGCCGTGGTAGCTGTGCGTCTCTCCCCTCAATGGGGATTTCTGTAGTTGCCCCAGAAGTTTCACGTGGTCCCTCCTGAAAACTGGGTGCTTGCTGGGGACATCCGCTAGCTGACGGGTTGGGTCTGGACTCTGAATCTTTGACATTTAGAGCGGATTAACGTCAGCCTCAGGGCTTTTAGGATCATCCTTTGGTGGGATTACACAGCAGCAGGGCACAGGCTGTTCTGTGATGAGGGAAGGGGAGGGCCACTGGGCACTGGGTGTGTGCCTCTGCACGGCGGGTCCAAGCTGCTCGCTCTCCAGAGTGGGAGCTGTCCTGGGGCTCTCCGAATACTCTGCCAAACAGGTTGAACTTTATCTTGAAAATGGCCAGAGCCGTCTCCAGATACCGTACAGGCATGGTATCATGTGGTCTGCCGTCTGTACCGCAGGAGCAACCCCTGTGGGTGGCTGTGTGACCAGTGCATTAAAGCGGCAGAGCTGGTGTCAGGGTGCCTGGCACAGGACAGGGCGCTGGTGAGCAGTCTCCGGAGGAGGGGAGGCCCGTTGACCTGGCAGACCTTGGTGTATTCTCTGGGAAGGACCATGGTGATGACTCATGGGCACTTCTGGGGACAGTCTGAGTCACCAGCAGTCACAGTGGTGGGGGTGTTGTGTAGTGGTGTGTGTTTGCTTAAATCCTGCTGCTTCCCCTGTGAGGGGGCACAGGCTTGTGGGGGGGCCTGTGTGTGCATAGGTTTTGGTTGACCAGACTGCCTGACCCCAGAGCTCCTGGGCCACACACCAGCTCCCGGCTCCTACAGCCCCCCTGCTAGTTGGTGTGTGGGGGGGGTGTGCGTTGGGTGTTTTGGGTAGTTAGTGTGGGCAAACCCCCAACCGTAGGGGTCACCAGTTCCACCCCAGGGCTTTCCGTGGGCTTTGTGGCCTGTGTGGCCTGCCATAACCCTGGGTTCCCAGTGGTCCTGGGAGCCCTGCAGCCAGCGTAGGGACCGTGGCCCAAGCAGGACTGTTAGCCTCCTGAAGGCCAAGCAGAGCCCCTTCCTGCTCTTCCTGGTGAGCGGAGGCTTTCCTGACCTCTGTCCAGAGCAGCCCACGGCCCTTCCACTCTGTTGATGTGGAGAGTTACCTCCTCTGCCCATTTTCGTTCGTGCGTCTGTCTTGCCCCAGGATGATAGTCCTTTGGTGCAGGGACCTTACCTGTCTGTCTCCAGTAGGTAAAACAGTCCCTGGCACCTAATAAGTGCTAAATAAATACTTGTTAAATGAACAAAGGAATGACCTTAAGAAAGCCTACTGTGTCGGAATTTTTTATCACCAGCATCACTTTTTTCTGGTGACAGTGATGTGGCCCTTGAGATATAACAGCAGGGGTTTGCTCCTGCGTGAGGCAAACATTTGTCATCACCTTCTGTGTGCTGGGGACTGCGGCTCAGAACAGAGTCTGAGGTGGCCTCTGCACATCTCAGCTGTCTACTTGGGGGAAATATTTGGCTACTGACTGAATTTGAAGCCAGTGACTTCCTTTTTTTATTGAATTAAAAACTTTTAAAAGTAAACGTCTCTAGTTTTTCCGTGATTCATTTATACATCCACTAACATGTCTGAAGATTCTGTGACTGTGGATCTGGAGGGATGAGGGCTGGCGATTGGAGTGTGGGGTGCTTGGGTATTTTGGATTGAGAGAAACCGTGGCCAGGGTGGGCCAGGCACCTCGGCGAACAGGGTGCCATGCCCTGTGGCGGAGCCTCACCCGACGGCAGGTGGTGGGCTCCAGGGCGTATTCCAGCCCTGACAGAACAGGATGATGATTGCAGATGTTGTGAAATGGGAACTCCCTAGCCCTAGGGAGTTAGGCTTTTTTTCTTTTTTGTTTTTTATACGATCCCTTTGGCAGCCCTCAGGGTGAGTGCACAGCAGAAGGGCACTTCAGGGGCTCTTGCAGTGAGGTCAGGGATGATGGCAGCTGAGGTGTGCGGGGGTGAGAGACAGCTGGAAATCAAGGCTAACCCCACGTGTTTAGCTTGGGCAGCTGGATTGAGGGGTGCCTTTGAAGGAGCCAGGGAAACTGGGGGGCAGAAGCGTGGGGTGCTGGGCTCAGGTGGTCTGTAACTCAAAACAGCAAGCAGGTTGCAGCTGAGCAGGGGTTGACGCGGGTGCTGGGCGAGGCCGAGAGGCACGTTGGCTCTGCCCACAGTCCAGTCCGCTGTGGAGGAGCGCTGCCCACCTCTGGACCCCTGCAGGGAGGAGCTCAGGGGCTGCCCCGGGCAGGACTGGCCCCTGGGAGGATGCGGTGATCAGGGCGCTGGAGCTCTGCCCCTAGCGGTTAGGCCCCTGCTTCCCAGGCCTCCCTCCCTCTGTGCTCACGCTCAGCTCTGCTCCGCCTCCAACGGGCATGAGGGGGCTTTTCCTCCACCAAGCATTCTCTACAATTGAACCGGATTCCGGGTTAGCACAGGCCCCACAGGTTAAGGGCTCAGCCCCACAAGACTGACCCCACCCAGATGCCAGTTGCAAGTCCAGGTTGTCCCCTGTGCTCCTGACGACCCGCTATACATCAGAAGTTCCACGACCCCCTCCTCGGGTTCCATTTGCTGGAGCAACTCACAGAACTGAGAGAAACATTTTACTTTCCAGATCGCCAGTTTGTTATAAAAGGATATTAACTGAGGGACAGCCAGATGGAAGAGAGGCCCGGGGCGAGGGGTGGGGAAGAGGTGCAGCGCTTCCACGCTGTCTCGGAGCACCTCCAATGTGTTCACCCACCCGGAAGCTCTCTGAACCCCTTGGCTGAGGGTGTCTGTGGAGACTTCATCACATAGGCATGGCTGACTGAGCCAGCCTCACAGTGGAAGCCGGCAGGCGGAGTCGAAAGGGAAACCCTGTAATCCCAAGGTTGGCTCCCCTGGCAACCGGCTCCATCCCGTGGTTATCTGGGGCTTTCCAGAGTCACCTCGTAAACTCAGGTGTGGTTGACAGGTTTGATACGAGAAACAGGAGATAACCTCTCACCTGGAATTGCTTCAGAACCTGGGGAGAACTACTAAAGCTGCCCCCGTCGCTCAGGAAGTTGGGAGGCTTTTGGGGGCCTTGTGCCAGGAGCTGGGGACCAAGGCCGTGATGTGTTTCTTACTGCACTGCCCATGGCAGGGTCCTGCAGCCTCCCCAGCCCTCTGCAGGCCCTCCTGCTGCTTCAGCCTCTCCCTCTGGGTCTTGGCACGGGCATTCCCTCTGTGCTCCGCTGCTCCTCTCCAGCGCCAGGTCGCCCCAAGACCGGCTGGACATGAGCCCTGAGGGTTCGGGGCTGCAGGGGGCAGCCATTAAGAAATGACAGCAGCTGTTACCCAGTGATAAAGGTTCTCTGCACAGAGATGGAGGGCTTGGCAAAGCAGGCCTGTGGGCCGGACCCAGCCCGCAGTTTGCACACTCTGTGGCTGCTTTGCACAGAGTTGAAGAGTCGTGACAACCCTGTGGCCCACAAAGCCCTGAGTAATTACCCACTGCCCCTTACAGCAAGAGTTGGCCAGGCCCTGCCCTGCGTGATTCATTGCTCCTCTAGAAAGACCTGCATAAGGAATTCATTCAGATCCAAGTGCCAATGCCGAGAAAATATTGGCTTCACCTGAGAAATAGCCTTACTTTTTCCTGACGAAGGTGGTGGGTGCTGCACTCAATCCTGTGCTTGGTGCTTTGTCCTCCGGCAAGCCTCCGGTTGGATGCGTTGTCTGACGCTCCACAGTTACGTGGCCTTGATTGCCCAATCCTGACGTTTATCAAGCCGTGTTTTCCTCTTTGACTGTCTGTGTTCTAAGATTATTTATTTATTTATTTATTTATTGAGCATAAGCAGGGGGAGAGGCAGAGGGAGAGATCAGAGCAGACTCCCCACTGAGCAGGGACCCTGACATGGGCCTCGATACCAGGACCCCAGGATCATGACCCGAGCCGAAGGCAGACGCCTAACAGACCAAGCCACCCAGACGCCCCTACTGTCCGAGTTCTAAGCACTGTTCTGCTGAGCCCAGAGCTAACGTGTTTCTGTCGTTCCCCAGGGCAGCTCCAAGCACAGCATGTGTCTTCTGTGAAATGCTCATTATTATTTCTGGGGTCCTGACAATATTTTCGGATTCTCCAAATACCAGCCCAGACCATTTTGACAGTTTCTCTTTTACTTTTTTTCCCCCTTTCTTTTCTTTCTTCTTTTTTTTTTGCTCGTAGCGAGAATTACTACCAAACTCTACTCATTGGGCCAGAGACCCGTGTGGTATTTGAAAAAGACTTGCCCCTCGCATAGCATACTACCTGCACCTGTGAGTTCATTGTTTTGTTTTGTTTTTTCATTTTATTACCAAAATGTTATAGTAACAGATTTGATTATGGCACCCTGGGATTTTCTCCTCTTAAAAAAGACCCACCTCAGGGGTGCCTGGGTGGCTCAGTCAGTTGAATAACCAACCCTTGGTTTCAGCTCAGGTCATGATGTCAGGGTCCTGGGATTGAGCCCTGCATCGGGCAAAAAAAAAAAAAGAAAGACCCGCTTTACATGAATCAGATATTTTAGATTCTTTGGGATGACAGTGATGATACTCAAATGTCACTGGCAGGTGCCCCCGGCCCTTCTGGGGAGGTGCTCTCAGAGAAGGGCTGTGTCTGCCCCTGCTGCATCTGCCCCCAGGATGACTGTGGCCCTTGGGCCCAGCCTGCCTACCTTCTGGGCTTGCTGTGTGGCTGTGGGCCTGTTTGTGTAGGTCAGGACCCTGAGCACCACTTGGTTTTCCATGTCAGAATCCACCCCTTCTCTGCGGGCGATGGGACGTCGACAGTCCACGTGGTCTCTAGCACACCTAGTGGCCCTTGCTAGCCCCCCAACACATACTCATGCGGCCCATGCTTGGCAGACTGCCAGAGCAAGAGGTGTTTAGACACTTGTTAGCAGTTTGACAAAGTGGCTTTATGCTCTTGGATCTAATAATTAAAATTGGTCTTGTGCATTATATATCTTTGTTTTTTAATTATATTTTCCTTGAGTACTTTATTTTTATTGTTTTAGAAAATTATCAGTCCGTGATGGGTTGGAAATAAAAGAGCCAAGGAACGTCCTCCTGAGTGCTGGATCTCCAGGAGCCCCACACCGCTGGCAGGAGCAGAGTGTGGGGCTGAGGGGGCGTTGGCTCTCAGAGGCTGGCGGGCCCCAGCGCTTGCTCAGCTCCTTAGCGGCCCCGTTTTTTCATCTGCAAAGTGGGAGAGCCCTCCGTGAGCCTGTTTTGAAGGACCTAGCTCTTGTTGGTGAGCAAACGGTGTTTCCTATCTTCCCTTCCTATGCTGCAGGGTGAGGCTAGGCTAGCAGAGCCCTCAAGGTCTGGGCCCTGGCGGGGGCCACCTGTAGCTCTTCCGAATGTGTGACCACGCAGCTGCTAACTGGCCCAGAGTGTGCTCCCACTGGGTGACAGCAATGCCATAGACGGGGATCTGGCCGGTTACTGAGAAGGACGGCTAGAGCCCCTAACCCTGGGCCCACTGCCCACCTCCTTCCTGCTGCAGGTATCTGATGCTGCCGCCGCCCTCAGAGCAGGCCCTGGGCCCGCCGCTGCCTGGCAAGGAGGACAAGGGCAGAGCCCCGCAGGCCCCCTGCTGCCAGCCAAGGGAGACCGCGCTGCAGGACGCGTACAGCCAGCTGCACCAGGTGCAGGGGGCGCTGCGGCGCCTGCAGGAGGACTTCGTCCACAACCTGCAGGTGCTGGAGGAGCGGGACCGTGAGCTGGAGCGGTACGACGCGGCCTTCGCCCAGGCCCGAGGGCTGGAGGAGGCGCGGCAGGCGGAGGTGAGCGAGCTCAGGGTGGAGGCGGCCCGGCTGAGGCAGGCGCTCGCCAGCGAGGCCCGGCGACGGGAGGACCTGCAGCGGCAGCACCAACTGAAGCTGCAGGAGCACCGGCTGGAGCTGGAGCGCGTCCACAGGTGAGGTGCCCCTTGGGCCGCGCAGTGAGGGCACCGGGACATTGGTTTCAGTGTTCGAGTTTTCTCCATGAATTACAAGTCTGTATCATTTCAATAAAAGATATTCGAGACCATGATTGTTTTAATGATGCAAAACAGGTATTAATTCCCAAGCGCAGTGAGCTCACTTGAGGCAGGTTGACTAAGAGCCTGCAGCTCGGGTCAAAGGGTCCTGTTGGCGGGTCCCCGGAAAGCCGCTCTCGCGTCGCACGCACTCCCCTCCTCAGTGAGAAGAGAGAGTGGACAAAAATCTGCCGTCCTTCCCCTGATTTCAGGGTGTGTGTTTGTTTTTTTAAAGATTTTATTTATTTATTTGACAGAGAGAGACAGCGAGAGCGGGAACACAAGCAGGGGGAGTGGCAGAGGGAGAAGCAGGCTTCCCGCGGAGCAGGGAGCCCGACGCGGGGCTCGATCCCAGGACCCTGGGACCATGACCTGAGCCAAAGGCAGACGCCCAACGACTGAGCCCCCCAGGCGCCCAGGGTGTATGTCTCTGAGGTCACATTGACAGGGTGCATCTCACTGGTATGTGCGTGCACACGCGTGTGCATACGCACGCGCAGGCACAGATATCAGAGCGGCTGGCAGCATCCTGTGGGTTCTGTTTTAACTTAAAACGGGATCCTGAATAGTGTTTCATGTTGTCACACATGCCCTTCAAAGTACTTGTAGAAAATCACAACAGTGACGATATTCTTGTTCTAGAAAATCGTTTTTTCCTGAGGATGATGAGGTGAAAAGGAAGAGCTGCCCAAGGAGTCTGTTGTGATCTCCCTGGGAGAGCTCCCCTTCATGCCCACATAGACACGTCCCATACACGCGGCCCACAGCCTGCTTGTGGCAGTTTCCCATCTACCTGGGTGGCTTTTCTTCGTGTCATGCACTGGGTTCTGCCACATCCTTTTAAATGGCTACCTGGTCCCATTTTGTGTTTGCTGGGCCTGTTGGCGCTGTACTCCTCAGCAGCAGGAGACTTTCCGTGGCAGGCTGGGCGTGAGCAGAGGAGACCTACCTCAGTGGGCGCGGGACCACCTTGGCTTATGGGCCTCCAACCCGCCGGCTAGCATCTCCCATAACAACACATAGGCATAGCTCCCAGGGTCCCAAGCATTGCTGTCCTCAGGGAGGCCCGGGAGCCCAAGGTGTTCATGGCCCCTGTGCAGGTGCTCCCAGTCCCGACGCCATGTGCCAGGGAGCCTGTCATTCCTGCAAGCAGTACGGCTGGCAGTGTTCACAGCCCATGCCGCCTCCCCAGGGGCCGGGAAGACAGATACAGAACTTAACCAAGGTCAGCATCGCCTGGAGCAGGGACGGGGATCTGTGACCTTCCCCTGCAGGGTGGATATTGGCATTGTGACTGTTCCCCAACTCCACTGTTAAAAATCACACTGTGATGCACCTGGAGGATCAGAAGCAGGTACTCTTAACACTGGGACACGTGGGCCAGCTTGCCTCTGTGGAAATACTGATTTTCTTTCTCACAACTGTATTTGAGAGAGTTTAAAGCATCCTTAAAGTGTTTTTTTTTTTTAAGATTTTATTTATTTATTTGACAGAGAGAGACACGGCGAGAGAGCACACACAAGCAGGGGGAGTGGGGGAGGGAGAAGCAGGCTTCCCGCGGAGCAGGGAGCCCGACGCGGGGCTCGATCCCAGGACCCTGGGACCATGACCTGAGCCGAAGGCAGACGCTTAACGCCTGAGCCCCCCAGGCGCCCCAAAGTATCCTTAAAGTGTTCTACACCATTCTTGTAAAGTTTCTCCTCATGTCATTTGTACCTCCCCCTTTTCCCCTAACTTGAGACCTTTTCAGCCGTTATTTCTTCGAGTACGTGTCAGCCCTCCTCTTCGTCCTCCTGCTCGGGCTCAGGGCGACCGTCCCTCGGCTCCCTGAGGCTGTGCTCATGTTTTTCAGTCTGTTTCTCTCTGTTATTTGCTGGTAGTTTCTGTTGTTCTGCTTTCGAGTTCATGGATCCTTTGCTCTGTCATGTTGTCATGTTCATTCTGCTGTTGAGCCCACCGCAGTGAGTCTTCTGTTTGGTTGTCATACTTCCTGGTTCTCAATTTGTTTGATTCTTTGTAAGTTTGTCTTTGCCGAGTTTCTGATTTTTTATTTAAGAGTGCACTACATTGCTTGCTGAAGCGTTTTAAATAATGGCTGCTTTAAAAACCCTTGTTACAAAATCTCAACGTCTGTGTCATCTTGGGGTTAGTGTGTGCTGTCTTTTCCCGTTCAGGTGGGGACCTTCCTGTGCTCGGTGTGACTTGGGCTTGTGTCCTGGGCATTTTGGGAATTACCTTGTGAGATTCTGGATCCATTTCAGGCTCCCTCTGTAGGCAGGCACCTGTATGGCCAAGCAGGTTCCACTGAAGCCACCCGAGAGCAGACCCTGCAGGTGTCTGACTTGTCTTAATACTGCCGTGTTTACATAGTGACAAGAACAGCGAGATGGACCAGCAGCGGGAACAGTACGAAAACCTGAAATGGAAGCTGGAGAGAAAGCTCAAGGAGCTCGATGGCGAACTTGCTCTGCAGAGGCAGGTAGGGCGCTCCAGCGCGTAGCCCCTCCTCAGGTGCCTGCCCTGCCCGCCCACTTTGAAAGTAAGTTGTTGAGGAGAAGACAGCTTTTTTGTTAGCTGTGTGGTATCCATGGGATCAAGGTTGAGTTACTGGAGCAGATTTCCATCTGGGGTGGCCTGGAGGGATATGGTGGGCATCCAAACCTCGGTCTCTAGGAACTCCCTCCGTGTTCTCTCTCCTCACAAATGGATACATGTTTTCTCCCTTATTTATTTCAGAAAAAAAAGGATTAAAAAGTCAGAATTTGGGTTACTTACTGTAGCAAACAGTTGGGAACTCAAATTGTGGTAACTGTGTTTCTTTCAAGAAAACCGTAGGTAATCCTAAGTGTCAATATAGACGTGTCAGCTGACAGGTGCCGCTTAGCCTGGCCCTGTCACCAGAGTTTCCCTCCATGACACTGAGCCTCAGCCTACGCTTCTGTGAGTGCAGATACTGGGGCCGCCGGGTCCCCTTGTCGCCTTCGAGCGTGAGCTCGTGACATCATAGCAATAGCAGTGTTTATGGGAACTGCCTCATGAAGCTCTCTGTGCTCCTCGCTACAGAGACACGGTTTTGATCTGAGCTTTACAGATGGGGGGCTGAGCCCAGAAACATTAAGTAACCTGCCCAAGATCCCCTTAGTAAATGGCAGAGGTGGGATTGGAGTCCAGTGTGTAAACTCAGCCACTGTTACCCTGGCCTGGGATTGCCATTGTCGGGGAGCAAGAACTCCCATCCCCTCAGAGGTCCTTCTGGCTGGACTGAGAATCAAATCGACGTGAGACAGATGAACAGGAGAACATCAAATTTAATAGGTGTATGTTTGGAGAGTCCACACAGACATGGAAATCCCAGAGTCAGGCAGAATGAGGTCTGTATGTCGTTCTGAACTAAGGAGAGGGGGCTGGGGGTCTGGGACTTCAGAGGGAAGGAGTGCACCTCACCGGGCAGTGAGAAGAGCCGGTGTTTGGTAGGTAGATGTTTGTCCTGCCAGGGGCGCCTGGCTGGCTCTGTCGGTAGAGCGTGTGACTCTTGATCTCGGGGTCATGAGTTCGAGCCCTACGCTGGACATAGACGTTATTTAAAAAAACGTGTGTGTGTGTGTGTGTGTGTATAAGGTGTTTGAAAAAAAAGATGTTTGCCCTACCACACAGATCGGTTACTCAGATAAAATTTTTCTCTGCTCATGACCCTTAGACTGGGAAAGACGCGCAATTTAGACTGTTCCGTATGGTAAGAAAGGGACAAAAGTTTCTCTTGAGGCTGCACGGTCTCAAGTGCCTTCAGCTCAGAACAGTCCTTGTGCCAAGGTGGCACGTTCTGGGGGGCCTGTCCTGAACCCCTTCCCTACTCTTCACATCTTAGTTGTAGACTCCTGTTCATGAGATGGGACGAAGAGCTGGATCCAGAAGTCGGCCTATACTGTGTCTTGTTTCTGCCTGTTCTCGTAGCCACTGAACCCTGGGCTTGTTCCCAGGTTCTTGGTGACCATACCGTGGGGTAGATGTGGATGGTGTGCCTGGCCATGACGGCTCTGATCCAGGTGCTGGGGCAGCAGTGACGGACAGACCTGTCCTGCTGGAGGACAGGGGCCTGACTGCCCGGGCTGCTGCCCTGAGGTGCTGTGTCAGCCCCTGAGACAGGGCAGTGTCTCCTGAGAGGCACTGCGCCAGTCCAGGTGGAAAGGCACCAGTGGACATGACTGTCTTCTGACCACAGAGGAGGAGGCCGAGGCCCCGCTGATAGCCCTTACCTTCCCCTGTGGAAGCTCCACATTCATTGTCTGCAATGCTGCCATCACCCAGAGCACCCTTAGAGCTCTTGAAATCTGCAGAGGACTTCTGGAGTTTTCCAGGACCAGTGAACTGTGTCCGTTACAGGCAGGTTGGCCTTTTGGAAACAGCTCAAGTTGGTAGGGCACTAAGCCAGGGCCTGAGCAGCAGGGTGAAGACAAGACCCGTTGTCACTTACTGGGTAGTGATGAGGTTTCCTCAGGTAGCACCAGGGACACTCCCACAGGAGCATCAGAGGGCCCTGGGCAGGCAGGGTCTCAGTGACACTCGGAGGCAGCAGTGACCCCCGGGGAATTATGGTGGCCGGCCCGGGCCTCTGCAGGGCTTCCCAGGCTGTCCACACTCAGCCTCTACTGTGACTCGGGCTGGTTCCAGCTTCGAGCCCCTGCGTCCGTTGGGGACCCCTCACAGCCATGGGGGACATTGGTTTTCGTAGCAGCCCTACCTCTGGAAAGAAGGAAGCTTGATGTTTAAAATCCCCAGCTTTGCTGGTCTACCCAAGGTGGCTGCTGGAAAAGTGGGTGGCACCTGTCCAGTGTGGTTCTGGAACAGTGTGAGCCCGTGCCGGTTCTCAGGGTGCAGTGTGCCTTTGCTTGAACCCTACTCTGCTGCCCACATCTTATTCTTTCAGTGACTGAACTAGGCTCCTATGTGCTCACTGGCTTCATGGTCTCCTTGGGGCTGGTTTCCTGTCTCTTGTTTCTGAAGATCTTGTGTCCATTATTGACTTGTCAGAAGTAGAATTGATTCAATGGTGATAGTGATTTTTCTCTTGAAAAATGAAATATAAGGTGATGGGAACAGAGTTGGTCTGTTTGAGTCTTAGTCTACCTGCGAGTTGTAGGCTGTGGGGTTAAGGGATGCTTTCTTCTGTGTTGGTTAGCAACACAGGATTGGAAGCCACTGAAGTAGAAATGGAATGATTAATTTATTTCTTCATTCATTTAACGCATATTTTTTTAATGTGAACCATGTGCTGGGCGTCCTCCCAGGCCCTGGAGTTAGGGTGTGAGCACCTGAACCTGTCTGCTCTGGGAGCGAGCTGGGCCTCCGTGGGTCACAGTGGACACTGAACAGCACGGTCTCTAGTGGAGCCCCCCAAGGGTGTCACCGGCATGACACCGTGAGGCAGGGTGGTCGGGAAGGGAAGTCGTGAGCAGAAGCCTGCAGGTGGTCAGGGGCGTGGAGGGAGTGGTGGGTACTGGCATGCTTAGAGCTCCCAGGGCAGGCGTTCAGGGTCCGGGCGGCTGAGGGGCAGGCAGCCACGTGGGGCTCACAGGCAGCAGCCCTGGGTACAGCACCAGTGCTGTCAGGCTGCGTGGGAGGTGGCTCCTGGCACGCTGGAGGTCAGGGTGGGGAGGTCACAGAGTACAGGGCTGGGAGTCTGGGGCATCGTCAAAGGGCAGGTGTAGACAGAAGGGCCTGAGCGGAGCCTTCAGCGGGAGGATGGGAGGTGAGGGCCCATGAGGGGCCCAGCAGGAGAGTGGGTGCCCTGCAGCCAGAGAGGAGGGTGGTGGAGGTGGACGTGAGCTGTGAGTCGGGGCAAAGCGCTCCTTGTTCCTGGGCTGGACTTTTCACTCAGGTCAGCGCTTCCCTGCTGGCCCTGCTCCTTCTGCGTGACGGCCCAGCCCCCACAGCCTGCAGAACTTTGAACAGAAACCAAATGCTTCGTGGTTTTTTAGTATGTTAGGAGAAAAAATCTCAATGATTCTCATGTTCCAGGGGCGCCTGGGCAGCTCAGTCGGTGGGGTGTCGGCTCAGGTCATGATCCCAGGGTCCTGGGATGCTCAGCGGGGTGCCTGCTTCTCCCTCTCCTGCTCCCCCTGCTTGTGCGCACGCTCGCTCTCTCGCTCTCTCAAATAAATAAATAAAATTTAAAAAAAAAGATGCTCATATTCCGGTCCCAGTAAGGGGTATTCATGTGGCTCCTTATACTTCGTTTTGCTTTTCAAAGGATAAAAAAAGTAAGGCATATGCTTTCAGTTGTGCTTCTGTGAGTGTCTCTGAGGCTCCCACTCGACCTTCAGAGATTTAGGGATCAGTGTACATGTATCACCGGGCAGCTGTGCGGCTTCCGCCTGCCTCCCCCGAGAGGGCAGATCAGGGACGTGGCAGATGTGGCTGTATCCTCACCGGCACAGTCGGGCTGGGCTCAGCCTGTCGAGCCCCATTACTTCATCAGCCACTTGCAGTCTTGAGTGCTGTGCCATGCTGTCCACACGCTATATGCTGAGGGCCTGCCCTCGCCGGCTCCTTTGTGGGGACGGGCTTCACCTGCCCCACGTCACCTCCGCTCTGTTCTAGGCGCCAGGGCTGGGTTGGGTCACTGTGAGATTTTAGACGAAGTCAGACACTAACTCCAGGATTCTGCATCTCGGTTGCACTCTGTACACCCCCTGCCCCCGCGTAATTTCTGCATGTCAGTTCTTCATGTGTGAGCCACATCTGAGGAACAAGCATGTCCACACCTCAGTGCACGTGGCAGATCAACCATGGAGGTCTGTCTTTCTCTGAGACCACAGGGGACCGGACACGAAGGGACTGACAGCAGTGAAGGGGACGGAAGGGCCTTAGCTGGAAAAGCAGCAGCTCGCGGGCAGGCGGCTAGCCTGGCGTCAGTTGGGGGGCTGTGTACGGGGCAGTGACCCCAGCGTGTGCACCCGGGGTACCCAGCAGGCAGGGGCTCCTTCCCAGGCAGAAGCTCAGCACGGTTCTGTTTAACAAATTGAATTACCCCTGCATGCAGCAGCAAGGCAGCAGGTGTGGGCCGTGGGGCCTGCAGAGCGGAGCTGACGTGAGGGACCCCTGGTTTACATGCGGGCTGTGCACCACGACTTCTGACACGTGCGCGCGCCCACCTAACATCTGTCCGTGCAGTCCCAGCGTGCTCCTTGCAGCCCGTGAGTGCCACCCCCGCCCCAGCAGTCTGCTTGCGCCTTGATGGGTGATGTCCATGCTGTGCTCGGGGCTGCTCTTTCTATTGCTGGCGGGTAGTGCACTGAGCGCTCGCGCTGCTCGGCTCCCCGCTCACCTGCAGATGCACGTGTCAGACATTTGGGTCGTTTCCAGTTCAAGGCCGTTTCGAATAAAGTTGCCGAGAACGTTCTTGGCAGGCCTCTATTCATTTGGGTAAATAACTTGGGAGCATAGTTTCTGGGTTGTGCGCTAGGGGCACGTTTAACTTGGTAAGAAGCCGTCAAACTGCGTTCCCAGACGCTGCTCCACACCCTTGTCAGCACTGAGTGTTGTCCGTCTTTCCCATTTCAGCCATTTACAGGGTGGGCCACGGTGTCTGTCTTGTGGTTTTAATTAGCTTGTTCCTTTTTTTTTTTTTTTAAAGATTTTATTTATTTGAGAGAGAGAGAATGAGAGATAGAGAGCACGAGAGGGAAGAGGGTCAGAGGGAGAAGCAGGCTCCCCGCTGAGCAGGGAGCCCGATGCGGGACTCAATCCCAGGACCCTGGGATCATGACCTGAGCCGAAGGCAGTCGCTCGACCAACTGAGCCACCCAGGCGCCCTCGCTTGTTCCTGATGCTCAGCGTGTAAGCATCTTTTCATGTGTTCGTTGGCCATTAAGATACATTTTTTTTGTGAAGTGTCGGTTCACCTTCTTTGCCCTTCTTGCAAGGTGGATTATCTGTCTTCATGTTATTGATATGCAGGAGTCCCTCACGTACTCCAGAAACAAGTCCTCAGGTACGTGTGTTACAGTGATCTCCCATCCTGGGCCCCGCCTTTTCCTTCCTCAGCAGCATCGTATGACTAGCAGGTGATTTAATTTTGGTGACGTTCCAGTGAGCTTTTTATTGCCGCGTTCCCGAATAGGAGCATCCAACTAAGGCAGGATTCTGAGACATTTGAGAATTGCCAGCAGCATGGGAAAGAAGCCAAGAGTAACAGGGAAAATGGCCCTAATAGAGCAGTGATTCCTGGGTCAATGATCCTGTAGCCCACCACTGTGTGCCGTCTTCCGGGGCGAGGCGGCAGATATGCCTACACAGGCCTCTGGTTATCTGTGCTGGTCTGGCCGCCCGCAGGTGAGCTGGTGATCCTGTGACCCCCCGCCATCTCCACAGGTGAGAACTTGAGCCTGTCTGGAGCGGGATGGGGACAGGGCCAGCCTCGCTTCATGTCGTGTCTTAGTTTTCAGGCTTTTGGGGTGCATTGTGTGGCCTTCCTGTGATTAGTGCTTCCAGAGATGTGTTTTGCATCCATAACCCAAGAACAGGATGCTAGGAGGAGGGCCATTCACAAAACAAAGAATTTTGACAATTAAAAGTATATTTAAAGAAATAAATTCAGAATGTAGATAAAAAAGAAAATCTGGGAAAAAACTTAAGAGACGTGGAGGATAAATTGGAATGTTCAATCCAGCAGTCACATTCCAGAAACATGCAGTGGGAAACAGGAAGGGGCAGACTATTGAGGAAATGGACCAGTCGCTTCTTGGGGCAGGGACTTCAGAACAAAAGGCCGGCAGAGGCCTGAGCAATAGCGGGAGATGTTTCAGAGACCTCTGGGAAACTTATGGAAAGGGAGAATGGATACAGAGCCTGCCCCGCTGCTCAGCTGTAGCTCAGCATGACAGACCGGCTGTGAGGTGTGAGCGCAGGGCCCTCAGGTCTGCACACGGGGGCGGGGGGTGCCTGCAGATGCCGGGCTCAGTGAGCCTGGAAGTTACTGGATTATGCTCTGCAGCCTGGCCAGTGGCCAAGGGCTCAGCCCTCAGCTGCCTCCATTCCCTTCTGAGTTCAGAACAGTGGGAACCAAGAGATGGGGGCCTGAGCTGAGCAGACTCCCTGGCGTCCCCAGGATTGGGTAGGCCCAGCCACAGGGCCCAGCTGGCAGCCCCATACTCCCCGAGTGCTCCGCAGGAGCCAGGGCGCCTTGGCCAGGCCAGAGCTGGACTTCCAAACCCCCGGTGAGGCCACGTGGGGCATGGGGCTCGGCAGAGGCGCTTCCCAGGAGGAGGAAACCACAGACAGGAGGAGGTGCAGGAGCACCAGGGAACGCACAGGGAAGTGTGAAGGGCAGCTGGAGAGACAGCCGTGCCACAGTCCAGGAGAAGCCAGGCCAGAGTGTGCAGGCCAAGGCCTCTGGAGGGGCTGCAGCCCCGGAGAGAGGGTCACACTGTGCAAGAGGACAGCACGAAGGAACGGGAGGGGGTGGGACGACCCAGGAGAGAGAGGTGGGGGGAGGTCGGAGGGGAACCCAGACTCCAGGAGAAACAGTGGGCTGTCAGTTGTGAGCTGCTGCCACCTTCATTGGTGGGTGCACGGTGAGCACTGCTGTCATCATCATAATGTGTTGGTTTTTAGGTTCAGCCCAGGGGTGAAGCTCAGCAGACTGCCGGCTTGCAGAGCCGGGGTCAGCGTACCGGCAGGTGTGGGGTGGGGTCCTGGTGGGGAGCCGGCGGGGAGCAGTGGTGTGGGCATGTTGTGTGCAGACCCAGCCGGAAAGCTTTTGGCAGGGCTGCCCCCGCACAGGGACCTCTGTCCTGAGTGCCCAGCAGCTCCTCGTCTGTGTGTGCCCAGTGGACAGGCCCGGCCGCTCCGTGGCATCCGGCAAAAACTGGTGGCACCCTGGGCAATCTGTGGAGGCCCCTCCGCCACCAGGGGCCTCTGTGTCCTGTGGCTTCGGGCCTGCTCGCCCGCTCGCCTGGTGCTTCGTTGTGGTGGGGGTCTCTGCTGGGGCGCAACAGTCTCCTCTCACTGCTGGCCGTTTCTGTTTCAGGAACTGCTGCTGGAATTCGAGTCTGAAATGCGGAAGAGGGAGCACGGGTTCCGCCTGCAGGCGGACAGCATGAGCAACATGGTCTTGACTCATGAGCTCAAGGTGGGGAGTGGCCTTCGGGCGGTGACTGTTCCTTCCTCAGACGTCAGGTGCCGCTCCTGAGCCGCGAGGCCACCTCTGGGCGGGACGGCGGGGTCCACACAGAGGCCTCCCTTGCTGTACAGGGGCCACGGGTGACACGCCTGGGGAGCGCCCACCACGGTGCCTGCCATGTGGCCCCCCTCACAAGGGACAGAGGAGGGCTGGTGCCCCGACCTTGGGGAAGGGTGCCCCCCGGGATAAACGGCCACCCGACCCTGGTCGAGACGGCCCATCACTGGCCTGTGTCCTCTGTGAGCACTGGGAATGGGTCTCCGGGGAGGTGCTGCTCGTTCCCCATTTACAGCAGAGGCCAGGCGGGTGGTCAGGGCCTGGTGCACCTTGTGCACCGGGCCACAGTGAGCGTGGGTTCCCTGGTGCACTAGTCCACCGGCTGCCAGGACACACGAGCAGCGTGCACACCTGACCTTTAGCGTGGAGACGGGCCAGCCTTGAGGAAGCGGGAGGGTGTGCAGGGGAGGAGGAAGCAGGAGAAGGGCACCTGGTCTGGCCCTGCCACCCTGATAGGTTAACACCTGTGTGGACGTGCAGCTGGTGTCCGTAAGAGCAACCCCGCCCTAGCGGTCAGGGAGGGCCCCTCCCGCAGGCCTCCAGCCTTCCCACAGTGCCACAGTCCAAGGGCCCCAGGAACCCTGCCTGTTCTCTGTGGCCGGCGTGAAGGCCAGGCAGCTCCCAGCCCAACGGCACCCCTTGGCAGGGACACTGGTTCTCCGCATCCTCTTAAGCCCTGTCTGGCCCCCTGACCGCGCTCCTGTAGGAGCCCTGCCCCCTGCCAGCCAGGGCCCAGGCTGCCTTACAGTGACCTCCAGGAGGCCTCGGGGACTTCTGAGAGCTGGCGGGGAGAGGGCTCGCGGGATGTGCCCTGAGCTCCAGGGTGGGGTGGGCCCTGCCCCACCTCCGTCTGCCGTGCCTAGCTGTTACAAACCCGGGAACACCTCCCCCAGAGGGTGGCAGCATGCACACACGGACTGATGTGGGTTGCTGCAGCCATTATTGTGGCCCGCAGTTCACAGTTGCGGACTGAGGCCCAGAAAGGTTGTTTTAAAATGGAGCCTGCCTGTGTGAGTCCATTATCGGCGATCTTCACATAGGAGCCGGGACTGTCTTTTGGGCTCACACGTGTGGGCCCCACTGTGGGGTGCGGCGTGCCCTCAGAGGTCGTGGGGCCCCAGCCTGTTCACTTGGGGGTGCGTGAGGACGCCCTCACTGTTACGCTGCTTCTTGAGTTGTTTTCTCTCTGCTCGGTTCCAGTTCTAGCCTCATTTTGAATTCTTTGTCTCTTGAAGGTAAAGCTGCTGAACAAGGAGCTTGTGGCTCTGAAGGAAGCGGCTGCACAGGCCGCGGAGTCGCTGCGGAGCGCCGAGGCTGCCAACGCGGGGCTGGAGGAAAAGCTGCAGCACAGTGGCCAGGAGCTCAGGGACCTGGCTGCCGCCAAGGACGCCCGGTGTGCGGCCGCGCCTGCCTCCTCTGGGCTGGGGGCTTCCGCCTGTCCTGGCTTGCTGGGGGCTGGCCTGGCTGTGGGTCCTCGTCTGCTCTTCCGGCTAATACTTCCTCCTTTTCAGGATAAAGGACTTAGAGGGCAAACTAAACTGTGTGCAGCTCTCCAGGAAGAAGGAAGAGGAGGTGTTCAGGAGGAAGTGAGTGTTCCTGGCTCCCAGCCTGGCCACGTGGGGTTAGGTCCAGTCAGGGGCTCCCACCAACCCAGGGGCCGTCCGGCCTTTGAATTCACTGCCTTGGGTCTGCTTCTGTGCTCTGTCCAAGATTTTTTCAGTGGTAGTTAGGCTTTTTAGTGTTTTAAAACTTTTTTTTTAAGATTTTTTTTAAGGTTTTATTTTTAAGTAATCTCTACGACCCAACATGGGGCTGAAAGTCAGAACCCCAAGACCAAGAGTCACGTGTTCCACCGACTGAGCCAGCCAGGTGCCCTGGTGTTTTAAAACTTCTGAACTTAAGAGTTTTATGAACTAGGAGGCACCTGGGTGGCTCAGTTGGTTGAGCATCTGACTCTTGATTTCAGCTCAGGTCATGATCTTGGGGTCATGAGACCGAGCCCCACGTCGGGCTGGCGCTGGGCATGGAGCCTGCATGGGATGCCTTCTGCCCCTCCCCAAGCTTGAGCGAACGCACAAGCTCTCTGTCCCCCCAAAAAAGTTTTATTAACCAGTTCATTAATTTTAGACTGCAGCAACAAACGTTACTTTGGTGATACAGTCACCTTTCATTTCTACGTTATTTTGGCAAAATAATCCTGCTCTCCTGGTTGGTTGTATGTTCTCTAGGTTCTCAGGGGCCCCCTTCTTCCTGCCAAAATACTCGCCTCATCCATCGCTATGGGCTGTGTGCCCCACGCTGCCGGGTGTCAGGAGGCCCAGCCCGTAGGTGGCACGGGGACCCTGAGAAAGCCCGTGGTGGCCCACCCAGGCTGAGACCTCTGAGGCCCGCGGGATGAGGAGGGCTCAGAGAGGGCACAAGGCAGGCTTCCGGGGGAGGGCAGGCGTGGGGGAGCGTGTGCCTTTGGGAGCAGCCCGGGCCTGGGGTGACATGGGCCCCGGAGAGCCCGAGGGGGGCAGCGTCCACCGTTGCACCTGCCACAGGAGTCACCCTGTTCCTGTTCTGGAAAGCACCAGGGTGGCTGCGGGTGAAGGCGCGTGTGGTGGTTGTGAGGGTACTCGGTCACGGGAATGGACGAGGCTGGTGGAGCATGGGCCATCTGGGGCATTTGTGTGTTTTCTGGCCGTGACGTTTGTGCACCCTGAGGAGAAAAGCTTTACAGCCTGTCCGTCTACTGCCTTTGCACCTGTAGTCAGACCGGAACTGGGAGCTGTATCCCAGGCCACTGCACAGATGCCATCGGCCCGTGTACCCCTCGGCCAGGCCGGCAGGTGGGAGCAAGGGCGGGCATTGTGTGCATGTTCCCGGGGGCATGTGGGTGCCACGGACACAGCAGGATGTGGTCCGGCTTGGACCCATGCAGGCCCGTGGTGCTGGGATGCGCTGTGGTGGCCAGCCTTTGGGAAAAAACAGTGTTCCTCTTCATGTCCAGAGCTAGAGCCCTTTTCTTTTTTTAAGTTTATTTATTTAAGTAATGTTTATATCCCGCATGGGGCTTGAACTCACGACCCCAAGATCAAGAGCCACACACCCACCGACAGAGCAGGTCAGGTACCCCCAAAGTGTTTTTAGTCATAAACTGAAATTGTTGAAAATGAATATAGGGGCTCCTGGGTGGCTCAGTCGTTAAGCGTCTGCCTTCAGCTCAGGTCATGATCTCAGGGTCCTGGGATCGAGCCCCGCATCGGGCTCCCTGCTCCGCGGGAAGCTTGCTTCTCCCTCTCCCACTCCCCCTGCTCATGTTCCCTCTCTCGCTGTGTCTCTCTCTGTCCAATAAATAAATAAAATCTTTAAAAAAGTGAATATAATTTTTAGCATATTATAAATACTGGCTTTAAGAAGTAAAACTGTTCAGGGGTGTCTGGCTGGTTCAGGTGGTGGAGCACATGACTCTGGGTCTCGGGGTTGTGAGTTTAAGCCCTACATTGGGTGCAGAAATTACTTAAAAATCTCTAAGAAAAAAAGGAAGTAAAACTGGTCACTTTTTTTTTTAAGATTTATTTATTTTAGACAGAGAGCAAGCGTGCACATGTGAGGAGGAAGGGCAGAGGGAGAGAGAAAATTTCAAGCAGGCCCCCCACTGAGCAGGGAGCCCAACATGGGGCTCGATCCCAGGACCCTGAGATCATGACCTGAGCCAAAGGCAGATGCTTAGTGACTGAGCCACCCAGGCGTCCCTATAGTGTATTTTTTATGCTTCATAAATTTGAAATCAGTCTTCTCTAACATAATGCATATATTTATATAAACTAAAAACAATGAAATTTGCTGGGACCACAAGGCTCTAAGTGTTCTAAAAGGTTTCTACATGAAGGTATTCTGATAATTATTTGCACATACTTTACAAAACAATATAATAGACTATAAAATTCAATAATTAAGTAAACTGTAAGTCTCCTTAGGAATGCCCCCCAACTGAGGGGAAGGGGTCCCCACATCAGTTTGTGAGCACCTTTGTGGAGCTGGCCACCTCGTCACATGCACGACCCACGGACAGCCGGGTGGGCTTTCTGGCAGCATCCCCCAGGCTTTGAACGCCTTCCAGTCACGAGCCGAGAGCCACCTGCTGGCCTTGCCCCGGCATGACCGTATGTCATGTGTCTGCTGGTCACTCTAGGAGCAAAGAGCTGGTAGTGCCTGGCTCAGTTGGCAGGATCATTCCTGTTCTCTGTTTCTAGAGGTTTGGATAAGAGGCTTTCCTAAGACTTATTCCATGACTTATATACACCTGGTGCCCTTCTACTTAGTGGCAGCTTGGGAAACCCTCGTCCTGAGAGGCTGGGAAACTTGTGACTCGGAATGCATGTTCACCAGCATGATATGTATACAGTAAGATGCTTTTTATTTTGCCGTAAGCTTTACCATCTCTCCCTGAAACCTCAAGCTTGCAGATTTAGTTTCCATTTAGGGGAAGTGTTCAGCAGACCACCTGAGCAGCAGAACCCACCTTGCTGTGAAACCATTAGCTGGTCAGGTTGCTCTGCAAGAACATCTCACTTCGTTTTTCAGTCCAAGGGAATCTATGTGTTTGGAGGAGTAACATCAAAACACTGAGAATTACAGAGCACACCTCGTAAAATGTCCTAGAGCGTTCTGGTCCAGGTTAGGACAATTTGGTGCTCATACACTTGGCACATTAGCGCATATGCAGATGCTGCCCCTCGGATGGCGCCATGGGACTCTGTGGCGTCACGGGCAGCACAGAAGGCAGGCTTCCCACCCCAGAGTCTGCTGTTTGCCTTTGAGAGTCACTGACCAACAATCACGCAGTGCAGTTCGGAAGTGACTCGACTCCTTCACTAGCCGTCTCGATCAGACTTTTCCTGGTTTGATGAGAGAAGGGCTGTGCTGCTGGATGCTGGTGGTTACAGCCACTAGCACGTGTTCCTTTTTTGCTAATAGAAGGTAGAAAATATTGAACAGGTTGCAAGATGGATGAGGCTTGACTGTAATTAGAAAGAAAAGCATGTTAACATGACGTGGTTGAATAAGGGTTCACCATCTCACTGAAAAATGCTGATGGAAGGGGCGCCTGGGTGGCTCAGTCAGTGAGGCGTCTGCCTTCGATTCAGGTCATCGTCCCAGGGTCCTGGGATCAAGCCCCGCATCGGGCGGCCTGCTCTGCGGGGAGCCTGCTTCTCCCTCTGCCTCTGCCACTCGCCCTGCTTGTGTGCGCTCTCTCTGTCAAATAAATAAATAAAATATTTTTTTTTAAAAAAAGAAACTATGTAGGGGGCACGTGGGTGGCTCAGGCGGGTAAGTGTCCGACTCTTGATTTTAGCTCAGGTCATGATCTCAGAGTCGTGAGTTCAAGCCCCGAGTTGGGCTCTGTGCTGGGCATGCAGCCTGCTTAAGATTCACTCTCTCCCCCACCCCGTTCTCTCTCTCTCCCAAAAAATAAATAATAAAAAAATACCATGTAAAATTACAATTTTTAGGGCTTTTAGCTTTTTTTCTTTTTAAAGATTTTATTTATTTGACAGAGAGACACAGCGAGAGAGGGAACACAAGCAGGGGGAGTGGGAGAGGGAGAAGCAGGCTTCCTGACGCGGGGCTCGATCCCAGGACCCTGAGATCATGACCTGAGCTGAAGGCAGACGCCCAACGACTGAGCCCCCCAGTCACCCCCCAGGGCTTTTAACTTTTTATCAAAACCAAATAGAATAAAAGCATAAAAAGTCCTGAGTGTTGCCAGTCAGATGTCCGCATGACGCCCGCCAGCCCACGCTGGCCTGTCCAGATGGACGTCTGTCCTGGTGAGATTCTGGTAGGTCTGGCATTTCTGGCAAAGACAGAAGAGCCGCTGACGTCCCTCGGTCCCCAGTCGCCCTCAGCGTTCCGGGTGACTGATGGCTGCTGAGCCGAAAGCCGGCGGGGGTGGCGGTAAGACTGCTTTACCAGGGCTCCCGTCGCCGGGGTCTTTCTTCTGGGGGAGTGTGCGTTCTGGAGCCGTCTGGGGACGTGGCGTCTAAGAACTGTTCGCCAGTGTTTATCTGAGGAATGTGAGCTCCTGGTCAAGCGGCTGCTACAGAGGTAGCCAGGCAGGACGCGCGGCGGCTGAGGTCCCAAGTGCAGCAGCCGCCGTGCACAGGAGAGGGAGTGTGGTCTGCGGTCCGACTGGGGCCTGGGCACTGCATGACACCTGCTTGCGTTTCAGGCACGAGGAGCTCGACCATCTGGCCAGGGAGAGGGACGCGGTGCTGGCGGCTGTGAAGGGCGCCCACGCGGAGCAGCTGCAGGTGCTGGAGGCCAGGGCTCTGGGGCTGCAGGCCCGCTGTGAGGCCCTGGAGCTGCAGCTCCGCAGGGCAGAGTGGAGGCAGGTCGATGCCTTGAAGGAGAAGGATGCCGCCATGGACAAGTGAGTGTGGGTGGAAGGACCACTGACCGCACCCGCTGCAGGGCGGGCACTGGGCGGGCGCACCTCTGCGGCTCTCGGTCCTTTTTCTTAACCCTTTTCCTCCTTTCTTTTTTTCAAATTGTGCCGTGTGTGTGTGTGTGTGTGTGTGTGTGTGTGTGTGTGTGTGTGTGTGAATGTGTGCAGTTATTTGTGGTAAAACATACATAATATAAAACTTACCATCTTAACCATTTAAAGTACACAGTTCGCTGCTGTGTACCGCCACCAAAATGTCCCTTCCCGTTCCCCTCCCCCACCTCCTGGAACTCACCGTCTACGCTCTGTCCCTGTGACGTTGACGACTCTAGGTCCCTCATATGAGGGGACCCTGCAGTATCTGTCCTTCTGTGACTGACTTACTCCCCTTCCTGTAATGGCTCCTCGGTCCACCTATGTTGGAGCAGGTGATAGGATGTCCTTCCTTTTCGTGGCTGAGTGATACTCCACGGCGTGGGTGGACCACATTTTCTTTACCCATTCATCTGTCAGTGGACATTTGGGTTGTTTCCACTTTTTGGCTGTTGTGAACAGTGCTGCTGTGAACATGGGTGTGCAAATACCTATTCAGGTCTCTTTAAAATTTGGAGAGGGATACACCCAGAAGGTGAATTGGTGGATCATATGGTAAATCTATGTTTAACTTTTTTCTTTAAGATTTTATTTATTTATTTGTCAGAGAGCATAAGACTAAAGCATGGGGAGCGGCAGGCAGAGGGAGAAGCAGGCTCTCCGCCGAGCAGGGGGCCCAATGCAGGACTCAATCCCAGCACCCTGAGATCATGACCTGAGCCAAAGGCAGATGCTTAAGGACTGAGCCACCCAGGCGCCCCTATATTTAACTTTTTGAGGAGCTGCCAGACTGGTTTTCACAGCAGATGCACTGTTTTGCACAAGGATTCTAATTTTCCATTAACTGGTTTCTTTTTTTAACTTTATTTTTTAATTTAAGTTCAATTAATTAACATAAAATGTATGATTAGTTTCAGAGATAGAGTTTAGTGATTCATCAGTTGTTTATAACACCCAGTGCTCCTCACATCACGTGCCCTCCTTAATGCCCATCACCCAGTTGCCCCATGCCCCCCACCCCCTCCCTTCTGTAACCCTCAGTTTGTTTCCTGAGATTAAGAGTCTCTTATGGTTTGTCTCCCTCTCTGGTTTCATCTTATTTCATTTTTCCCTCCCTTTCCCTATGATCCTCTGTCTTGTTTCTTAAATTCCGCATATGAGTGAGATCGTATATTGTCTTTCTCTGATTGACTTACTTTGCATAGTGTAATAATACCCTCTAGTTCCATCCACACTGTTGCAAATGCAAGATTTCTTTTTTTGATGGCTGAGTAATATTCCACTGGTTTCTTCTTAAACCCAGTGTTCTTTTCAGCATCTCGGTGAGGCACGACACGTAAGCAGTTCTGTCCCGCTGTGTGCGGTGTCCACTGGGAACTGGACTTGGCATTGGACTCCAGTCTCCTGGCCGCCAGTGACGAAGTGATACTTGGAGAAGCTGTGTTTACTAAAAATATCTGATTAAGACAGCTAAATCAGTCATTGGTTAAGGTTCACTTTACTTAGCAACTGGCTTTTCCTGTATGTTTGGGGAATGTGCCTGGCTCCGTTCTAGAGAGGGTGCTCTGCCAAATTATATTTCCATCACGGGAGGATGGCTCTCACAACTGTACAAAGCAGGAAGTTAGTGCTCATTCAGGAGGGTTTCCTTAGATTGAACCTATGGTCTTGCTTGATGGGTTCAACACAAGCAGCGGTAGTTAGGGAAGCAGACGTGACAGTCTGATGGGCGGATGTGTTCCCTCCGGGCTGCGAGGCTGTGTGTGGGCCCTTCTCACGGCTGCTTCAGGAGCTACAGAACTTCCTTGCGTGAGGCCCTGGGCCGGCCTCCTTCCACCTGCACCCGCCTTTCGACGTGTCTGTCCTGGCATTTCCCGCTCCTCTGTGCGATCTGGCATGTGGGCCATGGTCGGGTGCTGCCTGGGGCCGCCGTGCCTGGGACAGTCCATGTCTTCTCACACTAAGACATATGCTGTTTGAAAACCAGCAACAAAACAGCCCATGTTTTGAGCTATTTCTTTGGGCATCTTTGTGGTGATTTTCCCGAGGGCATTAGGTCATGAACGCCACAGCAGAGAGGCCATGGCCCCGAGAGGCTCTGCGAGAACCCAACCGTGCCCTGTGCCTCCATAACCCCTATGACAGTCACAACCGGCCACATGGGGGGGGCCGATTTCCAGTGTCCACAGTTACGGCACAGAAATCGGGTGGCGCATCATTAACAAGTAATCAGTATAAAAACTAATAATTTTTGCCTGAAAAAAATTATTATGGAGATATTTTGCATTTTTCGGGTGCTAAATTTTGAAGCTGCATTTCAGTTCAGAGCAGCCATGTGCTCAGGAGCCATGCGTGGCCCGTGGCCCCATGCTGAGCAGCACAAGCCTGAGAGCTTGACTGCGGGGGTCCAGGATGCGGTAAAGGGTGAATCCCCACACTCTCCAGAGCCCCGACCTTCTCGGGCTGGGTTGGTCTTAGCAAGTTAGTGCAGGAGCTGGACTCACATTCGGGAGCGCAAGCAGAGCCCCGCGGTCGGCAGATCCCTTGGTCAGTGTGTGTTGCAAACAGAAGACATACAAATACAGCTCCTGAGTTCTAGCGGCTTCTCCTGTCGTTGGGGGGGGGGCTGCCACACTCGGGGTGCATAGGAGCAGTGTTGGGGAGTGTAACAGGAAGTCCACGCAGAACGTCCCCCTGGTGCTGCTTGAGGCCCAGGCAGGTGACCTCCAGGGCTGCCAGCCACTCTCCCACCTGGAAGGTCAGAAAAAGCCTCAGTGACAAGTTCCTTGCTGGCTGATGTCCTTTGCCTCTTAGAGTAGAGTTGCTGACAGATGGGTGACGAGGAAGGTTACATTTCAGGAATCCAGATGAGGGCCCAGGTGTTTTGTGTCCGTCCAGCTTCTTGGTGGCGTGTGGATGGGAGTGTAGCCGGAGGAGAGCCCTCACGTCCCCCCATCACGTCAGACACTTGGTGCTGGTGCGGCACAGCGGCCGAGGCCCAGACCCTGTGGGGACACAGCTCCAGGGCAGCGCATGCTGAGGTCCATCTTGGCAACGGTCCTGGCCTGCACTTGGTCACTTGACCACCCTGCAGTACCAGAGCGGGGCGTGCCGTCTGGAGCGGGGTTGGGCAGCCCCCAGGCTGAGCCAGTCCCAGCCCCCGCTCCTGGCACCTACACAGTGTGTTAACTGGATGTGTTCTGAAGTTCCCAACGTCGTTTAGCCCTTTGTGGTGTTAGAACAGGTACGAGTCGGGATGAGTTTGATGAATTGTACTAGAAATAATTTGTTAAAAGTGTATGAAGAAAAATGGTCTTTTTGCAGTGGCTAAGAATCATGCTGGAAACTCTATCAACAGACTCTTCCTCCTCTGAAAGTGTCTGGCACCATGCAGCTTCCAGTCAGGTTGGCAGCAGAGCCCAAAGACTCTAGAGGCTCACTAGCAGCCTTGTTTTCCTCCGGAGGTGGCGATTCCTTGCCTCTCCCTGTAGTGATCGGGCTGCAGATGGGGTGAACCCCAGCGGCCTGTTGTGCCACCCATCCTGTGGCTTCCCTGGGCAGTAGCTCTAGGTGTCTTCTCTAGAGCTCTTCTGGGGAAACTTATCCAGGTTGTGGTGATTCTACCAGGTAGTGTGAGGGTTTCTATAGAACCTCGTCTTACTGTTGAACTTGAAGACGTTGAGGGGCTGCACATTGAGGGGCTTCACGAGGTGTGGCAAAGGTGAGCCCAGCGGCACCACCCCAAGATCCCCATGGCTCACTGTCCTCTGCACGTCTGGTGCGGACTTGGCGTGTTGTAGGTGTTTAGTGGGCACCTGGATTGGTGGGATGGACGGGCGGGTGTTTCTTCTCGGGTAGGAAGGAAGTCTCCACCCCGATCTGGAGACACTGGTGTGTGGGTTTCCTTTGAGGGCGGCACGCATGTGGGTATGTGTGTGTTGGAAAGCTTGAATGAGCACCACACCCACAGTCACACAGCTTCCCTTCTTTGTGCAGACTTCGGGAAGATGCATCAGCTCTAAAATCCGGCTGGGATGCCCAGATTGCTCAGCTGTCCAAGGAGATGATCTCCAAGGACCTTCAGCTTCAGTCGCTGCAGGGAGAGGAGGTAGAACTCAAGGCACATCTGGCCAGATGCCAGCAGGACATCGGAAGGTGACTGTCCCCACAGCTTCCCCGAGAGCGGTCTTTTCCCTGCGTACCTCCTAGGGGCCTGGCGCTGTTCTGGGCGCTGCGGGTACAAAAGGGAACAGAATCAAGGCCCTGGCCTCGCATCCTATTGAGGGAGAAAGACAAACAGGAAAGAGAAGAAGAACATCTGGTCATGAGAAGGGAGAGCACGGGGACGGGGTGATGGAGGGTGGCCAGAGGGGGCCTTTCCCCGGGAACGGGCCTGGGTCCGTAGCGAGCACCACAGCAGCATTCTTGTTGCTCGGTCCCGTGTGGAAGTCGCTGCTTCCTGTCTCCTGTGTGATTGCTAAGGAACGCTTGAGTAAAGAACGTGTTCTCTCTCTTGAGGAGTAATTTAAATATAACAAACGCACCTGTTTCAGCTGTACGGTCGGTGAATCTTGACCAGCACGTACACCTCTCAGCCACCCCTGCAGCCGAGGTGCGAACCCTGTCCCTGGCCGGCTGGCACCCCCTCTCCTCTGGCCCCAGCCCTGCGGCCGCCCCGCCAGCCGCTCCGCATGCCGTCTGTGTGCACTTTGCATCTGGCTTCTCTGCATGCTTGTTGCACGTTTTCTATGTTTCTGTGTCAGTTTGGGGAATTTGTGTCTTTCAGTGAGTTTGCCCGTTTCGTGTCATTGTTGACTTTGTTGGCACGGAACTGTTCGTGGCGTTTCTTTATGTTTCCCCAGCGTGCGCAGAGCCTTCGTAACTGTCTCTGTCCTGTTTGTGATCAGTCTAGCTGGACATTGTCGATTTTACGGATCTTTTCAAAGAGCCAGCTTTTGGTTTCATTGACTTTTCTTAGTTGTTTTCTGGGTTTTTAATTTCATTGACATCTACTCTTAAAAGATTATTTCCTTTCTTCTGCTTCCTTTGGCTTTAATTTGGTGTTCTTTTCACAGCTTTTAATGGTAGGGTCCTTGATTATTATTTTTGAACCATTCTTTTTTTCTGAGAAATGTAAGCATTTAATGCTGTGAATCTCCTTCTGAGCACTACTTCGCTGCGTCCCACAAATTTTGATATTATTCGGTTAAAAGTACTTTCTAATTTTCCTTGTGATTTCTTTTTTGGTCCATGGGCTGTTTAGAAATGTGTTGCTAAGTCTCCCATCATTTTGAGATTCCCAGATATCTTTCTGTTACTGATTTCTGATTTAGTTCTGTTGTGGACAGAGAACATATCCTGTGTGCCTGCTCCACGGGACCCAAGTGTGGGGAGCACAGGCATTCCGGAACTTCATGGTCACGGGACAGTGCTGTGGCGGTTCCTGACATTTTACAAAGTACTGGCCCTCCGTGGACATTTTAAAAATAAACAACTCGGGGGTGGCTGGGTGGCTCAGTCAGTTGAGCATCCGACTCTTGGTTTTGGCTCAGGGTGTGATCTCAGGGTCCTGGGATCAAGCCCCGCGTCGGGCTCCTCGCTCATGGGGAGTCTGCTCGAGATTCTCTCCCTCTGCCCCTTCACCAGCTTGTGTTCTCTCTCTCTCAAAAATAAATAAACAAATCTTAAAGAAAAAATAAACAAGTGGGCTTTCACCACAGTTTGCGAAACCCTGTCCCACTGCTGTGAGCCTTTGTGTCTGAAGATGTCCCCATGTTTGCCTTTTTGCGTGAGTGCTGATTTTGCTAGGTTTAGGATGCTAAATTCCAAATAACTTTTTCCTTGGATTTTTAAAAAATATTTTATTTATTTATTTGACAGAGAGAGAGACAGCAAGAGAGGGAACACCAGCAGGGGGAGCGGGAGAGGGAGAAGCAGGCTTCCCGCGGAGCAGGGAGCCCGATGCGGGGCTCGATCCCAGGACCCTGGGACCATGACCTGAGCCGAAGGCAGATGCTTAACGACTGAGCCACCCAGGCACCCCTTCCCCTGGGTTTTAAACCCATTGTGTGTTACTTTATTATTGCTCTAGAACAAATCACTGCAAACTTAGTGGCTTTAACAACGCCCATTTATTGTCTCGGTTTCTGTGGTCAGGAGTCTGGCTCGGCTCAGCTGTGTCCCCGGCAGAGGGTCTCACTAGGCTGGGACCACGGTATCGGCCAGGCTGTCCTTTCCTGCCAGGCTCCTCAGGCTGGTGGCAGGGGTCCTTCCTCGTGGCTGTGAGCCGCAGAGGTGCCTGCAGGCCCTGACAATGTGGCCTCCCGGCACGGCAGCTACTTCTCAAAACCAGCAGGAAACGCCCTCCAGTGGGCAGGACAGGGTCTCGTGTGGCCTCACCTGATCAGGGGCGCGCCCATCCTGTCGTGCACACAGCCCGCCACCCTTGGGGGAGAGGCCGTCCAGAGCCCCCCAACCGTGCGTTGCCCCATGCGGCCGACGAGAAGCCTGGGGCCCATCTGGCACTCACTCTCTCTCTCCCTTAGGCTTCTCTTTCATCTTGGAGCCCAACACTCCACGCGGCGTCTGTGCGTGTGGTCCTGTAAAGCTCCCCCTGCCTGGTGCCTGGAGAGCCCTTGTGGTCCGAGGACGTGTGTCCCCCCAGTTGTGCAGGCTTTTCTCCTTTGTCTCCTCCGCTCTGATCTCTCTGGACCTGCTTTTAGATGGACGTCGGTCCTCTGAGCTCTGGAGGCTTTCTCTGTCCTGGTGGCTCCAAGCTCCTCCGGCTCGGCCCACTGTGCTCTCTGGTGGTGGCTCTGAAACCTTCTCACATTTCTCTGCTGGAACCACATCTCTTTTTTCCCCAAGTTTGTTGGCTTTCTTCCCTTCTCTTCTTACGAGTGGGTTCTTTTGTTTCTTGAGTTTGGTCTTCCGTGGTGCTGGTTTCCTTGGTGTTGGGAGTCCCTGCTCCTCTCTGAACCTGAGCCTGCCCGCAGGTGCCCTGTCTCCTCCGTGTCCACACTGCAGACTCCTCCCAGCTGCGCCAAGCATGCCTCGTGTCCGCGAGTGCACGGGAATAGGGCCAGCCCACAGGGGCCCCCGAGGGACCCGACTGCAGTGTGGTAGCGCCCTCCCTCCACCCCATCACCTGCAGCACACCTTTGCTCTTCGTGTGCAAGACATTGACCTCCGTGCTTTTCCCGTCCCCGGAGGTACAAACAGCAGCTGTCCATGGCTGCGGAGAGGGAGCGGGGCCTGGAGCGTGAGAAGGTGCAGCTGGAGCTGGACTGGCGGCAGCGCTGTGATGGTGTGGAGAGGGACCACTACCGCAAGTCCGAGGACCTGATTCAGGCCCTGACCGAGGCGCGGGATCAGGTCTGTGTCCCCAGGCCTGTCAGGTTTCGTGCTGCACTGGGAGGGCCTGGGAGCGCCCTGTGGCTCATGGAGGAGGGCTCTGGGCTCTCACCGTGTTGTCGTTTGGATTGGAAGATGCCGAGCCTCACTGAGCCACGTGATGTGTAGCAACAAGGATGAGAGCAGCAAAGGGTGCCCCTGTCCTGCCCATAGTCTTTGACGGCATCTTAGTTTTGCTACATTGGTTGTTTAACTGCCCTAACTGACCAGTGCTGGGAGGATCCCTGGCCACACCCGAGCCTGGTGCTGCCACTCAGCCAGCCCTGACCACCGCGTGGTCCTGGGCCCCGGGGGCTGCTCGCTCATGTGTCTGCTGTCTGCTCCCCGGGAAGGACCCCGAAAGTTGGTGCTGCTACAGCAGGAGCTGAGGCCCACATCTCTTCCCAGGTTGCTGCCAAGCTCCAGGAGACAGAGCGGACGCTGCGTGACCAGGAGGTGGTGCTGAAGGCCTTGACCCTGGAGAGAGACCAGGCCGTGCAGGCGTTGAGGACACACGGGCTCCTTCCTGAGAAGGAGGTGCAGGTCAGTGCTGCCCCTCTCCTCCCTAAGCCTCGCCCGGGAAGGCCCACGCCCCAGCGGCCCGCTCCTTGAGCCTTCCCTCAACAGCGGCCGTGGGAGAGCGGGGCCACACAGAACCCAACTGGAGGTCGGTCTTCTCAGCCATGTTCCTTTCCTGTGTCTGTCGGCACAACAGGGGCCAGTCTGGCCCCCAGAAGACCTGAGGTGACTCCGTGCTCAGACTCGTCTTCATATCTTTAGCTCTTGAAATCTCAAAAACACCCACATTCCAACATTCTGCCGTACAGATGGGTAGTGTACCGTTGCTTCCGTGGCCTCCACAGAGCTGTTGTGGGGGTCACTGTGGGCCATGACCCCGTCCGCAGGGACTGCCTGAGTCAGGCAGGTCCGACGCGACCTCTGTCCCGGCCCTTCGATCCTGCGATGCTGAGGTCGGTGCCGTGGCCCGAGACACAGGGACCCTGCGGAATGGTTTGGAAGGAGCAGGGCCGGGCTCCAAGGTCCATGGTCAGAGGGGCAGGGGCAGCATGAGGTGGGGGAGCGGGAGGGGCACGTGGAGGATTTTTCCAGGCCCGTGAACAGTTCTTATTTCGTTTGACACACAGTAAAACACACAGATCTTCGGTGCACACAGGTCGGTGTGTTTGCCATGACTGTGCCCATGGGGCCCAGCCCCCCAACAAGATACAGAGCATTTCTGTCACCCTGGAGGTCCCCCTCACCCCTTCCCGTTGGTCCCCGCCTGCACCCCAAGGGCAGCAGCCGCTCAGACTTCTGGCTTGTCACAGGGACCCGGTGGGTAAGGTTTCCTCCAAGACGATGTGCTGGCTGTGTGTCCAGAGCCCAGCTTCTAACCAGTGTCAAGATATTTGTAATTTGGGGTGCCTGGCCAGCTCAGTCTGTAGAGCACATGACTCTTGATCTCAGGGTCGAGTTTGAGCCCCACGCCGGGTGTAGAGGTTACTAAGACGTACGTGTATATATGTGTTCCTAACTTGTCTTATAACCCGTGTGTGGGACCCAAGACCTCTACTTTTTCTCTCAAGAATTGTAAGTTCTGGTGCAGGCTCAGAGTTGACATCTGATGATCCTGTCTTGGTCATTCGTGAGAATTGTCAGAACCCAGGAAAATGACCCAGTGTCTGTGAGGACAGCTGGGCGGGAGCCACAGCCTTGGAGAGGACGTGGCACATGACCACAGAGGCTCCCTCAGGCCTCGACAGCACAGGGTAGTGGGAAGGCTCAGGGGCGGGATCCATGGGCGGCAGGGACACCAGTGTCCTTCCTGCCACATCACTGGCCACAGAGCCGGATCACTTACTCACTTTAAAAATTGTGAAGAATGCTTCCTGTCCTGGTAGCTTTGTCGGTGTTGGGGCTGATTTTGGAGGACATGGTGTACAGTCAGACGTCCGGAAGGAAATCCCAGGGTGCAGCCAAGGGCCCTCTTGTAATGGAAGCCTGCATCTCTCCAGGAAGGGCAGAACCAAGGGGCTAGAATTTATCCCAGAGACACGCGTCTTCACACCTGGTGTCTGAGCCACCGACATACAGCCATGGCCATGTTCTCCCTGCAAAGATCTCCTTGCTGACGGACAGCCTCCCAGAGCCTGACACTGACCGTGAGAGGCCCGCGGGCTGACGGGTGGCCCCGAAGAGACAGGTTCCGGTCCTAACCGCCAGCTCTTCGGGATGCGACCTCACTTGGAAATAGGGTCTTTGTGGGTGTAACCAGTTCAGATGAGCTCACTTGGGAGCAGGGTCCTGATCCAGTAGGACTGGTGTCCTTTTAAAAAGCGCAGCACGTGGAGACACAGGGAGAAGGCCAGGTGCCGACGGAGGCAGACACGAGAGTGACGTGGCCCCAGACCGAGGGACACCGAGGAGTGTGGGTCCACGCTAGAAGCTGGAAGAGGCAGGAAGGGTTCTAGCCAGGGTCCCCAAGGGAGCGTTTGCTTCCAGCCTGAGGCATGTGCCCCACAGTCAGCATCACAGGAAGCCCCAGCTCCCCACATGTCTCACCTCAAGGCCCCTGAGAGAAGCCATGTCGCTGGGAAATCTGGGAAACGCACCAGGGGAGGCGGCTTCCGGGGCAGCGCCAGGGGCTGTGTGTCCAGTAGTTCAACCTCTGTCCTTTATGAAAAGTCACTCACCCGGTTAAGTGCATGGAGGCTGAGCAGAGACCACGTCAGTCCCCCAGTGGTGACGGCCCCAGGCTCGGAAGCCCCGGCCCTCACGGTACGGGTCGCAGGGCAGTGCACAGCCAGTGCCACAGAGGTCACCACGCCATGTCACAGACGAGATCGTGGCTCTCGGAGCTGGCTGGGCTGCCCCGGGGTTTGGGGGCTGATGCTGCCATTCCGTCCTACAGATGAAGGAGCCAAGACCCTGAGAGGGGTATTCCCTGCCCCACAAGTGGCAGAGGGAGCATCTGAGCAGGGCCGGGCCAGCGGCAGGTCCCACGTGGCTCTGCTGTGGGGTCTGTGCAGGAGCAGCTGTGAGGTTTTGTGCGAGGCGTTCCAACGGGCATGGGAAAGGGAGGTTGGGGGTTTGCAGGGAAACAGGTGGCCCTTCCTGTCTGCAGTGTCCGCGGCGAGCAGTGGGGCCGTGGAGGGTGTGACGGGGGGAGGGTGTTGGAAACCTGAGGTCTGTGTTCAGTAGAAAAAGAGCTAGCTTCCTTCTGGAAGGAGAAGTGAGGTGTGGCCACTGCAAGAATTCAACAATCTCCGTTCAGCGGCGTGGCCTCGAACCAGGCCGACCCAAGGTCCAACCCGGCTCAGCTCCTGTTTGGCCCGGGGCAGGCTTCCTCTCGCAGCCTCCAGGGCACTTCCCGGCGCATGGCGTGGTAGTGGGTTGAGCACGCAGGGGCAGTGTGGAGACAGCGTGGTGGCTGGGTCAGGCCTCATTAACTCGAGCGTCCGTTCTTTCATCTGTGTGACGCGTCCCCTTCTCAGAACCTTGAAGGGGCTGTGCCCCAGCGCCTGGCCCCCCGAGCACATGGAGTCCCCTGTGGCAGACCTTTCAGGCAGAGTCTGGTTCCTCTAGTTGCCTCTTCCTGTGGGTCTTAATACGCGTCCCCGTGCACGTACTGTTTTTATAGAGTTCAGGTCGTGCTAATATATAATTTTGAGGGTTTTTTCCCCACTTCTGTGACAACTGTGTTTCATGTCCTTGTAATTCTTCAAAACACAGTGTAAATGGCTGTACATTTGACCATATGGCCCTTCTCTTCCCCGCGGCCGCTGAGCTGGTTAGCGCCTGTCATCCTAAGGCCGTGTCGGAGCTTGGTGGACGCTCACCTTCCCCTCGGTGGGTCAGTGCCGCAGGACTGGGCCGGAAGGAAGGCCTGGAGCTGCGGAGCCTGTGCGGCAGCCGGGGCGGCAGGGCCGTCGGCAGGTGCCTGTCTGTGGAGGCGGGGCCTCTGCTCGGGCTCAGACCCGGAACTGGGCAGTCGGCCCACAGGGCCGCGTTCCCTGGCCTGAGCCTCCGGCATCCTGGTCCTCTGCTGGGCTGTGGGCACACACTCGTTTCCTGGAACGCATCTGGTTTTCTGGTTGTTTACAGCCAGCAGCAGGCCCTGCTGCGGTGAGCCCCTCCTGGTCACTGTCGTTTCTGAAGGACGCTGCCACTGACCGTAGGGTTGCAAGGCGGTCGGGGTGTTCCCTTCCTGCACGCTGCACCCCAGCCCTCTGTCTCGAGGGTTTCAGTGGCTGTCATGAGGGGTCGGCAGAAACCTTGCATTTGCGCCCGTGCACACCACGTAATACCCTGTTTTCCTCTGATCACTTTCGGGAGTTTTCTCTCTACCACTGATCTTTTTTAGCAGTGGGATCGTGCTATGCTGTGATTTCCTTTGTGTTTATCTTGCTTTGGGTCTGGTGGACTTCTTGGGTCTGTGGACTTACCGTGTGCATCACGTTTGTTATAAATGAAGTACTTCTTCTGCCGAGCCTGATGACTCTCTCTTCGATCTCCCTCGGTGCTTGAGCTACAACACTTCCTGTTGCCACGTGCTCGCGCTCACGGAGCCCCGCTCTGTGACGTCTGGCCAGCTCTCAGTGAATTTCTCATTTCTCATCTCTGCGGGTGCTGTCTGGTTTTCTAAAATTATCTTCCATTCCTCTTCCTGTTATGTCCCTGTTTTTCTTTAAATCCTTGAGCATGTTTATGATCATAACTGCACTGAGGTCTTGGACCACCACTTAGCATGTCTTCGTGGTTCATCTATGTGATCGCGTGTATTAGAACTTCATTCCTTTTTGTGGCTGAACACTGTTCCACTGTGTCACGTTTGTTTTCATTCACTCATCCACTGGGGACACTTGTGTTTGCACATTTTGGCTCCTGTGAAAAACACTGCCGTGAATACGCATGTACAAGTTTTTAGGTGGACGTATGCTTTCGGGGTGGAATTGTGGGTCATGTAGTAACTCCGTGTTTAACCCCTTGAGGAGCCGCCAGGCTGTCTTCCCCCACGATGCAGCGGCACGTGACCGCAAACAGCCTTCACGGCGCTGACGGCCCCGTGTCGCCTGCCTCCTTGCAGCACAGTTCCTGCCTGTGCTTTCCATGCCAGCTGCCCCCGCGGGTGGGGGGTGGCTTCCAGGTTTCTCAGGAAAGGCTGCCTTTGGCCAACAGCAGCCTTGTCTTTGCGACAACTAGAAGTTCGGTGTTGTCAGTGGAGCCGGGAGGGCAGATGAGTGGGGTGCGGACACGGCCGGCCCTGACGGTCCTTCTGTAGCTGCGAGCATTCTCTTTCTTTCTTGACAGATGCTCCTAAGGCATCACGAGGAAGAAATAAGGGGAAGTTTTCCATCTAGTGAGATCCAGAGGCTCCAGGAGCAAAACACAAGCTTACGAAGGGCTGTTTCAGAGATGAGGAAAGAAATGGAGACCCTGAGTGACCACATTCTTCCTCCTGCCCCATCAGGGGGTCAGGCCTCCGACACAGAGCAGCCCCGTCCAAGCCCAGAGGCAGCAGCTGAGGCTACTGGTGAGTGAGGGCAGCAGGAGGAGAGGGGAGGGCAGGGGGACATGGGTCTCCACTGGGTCCAAGATGGGCTTCCCCTGGAGTCGTATGCATGAACGTCTGCTTTAAAACATTACTTCAAACTGTGGCAGCAGCATTTCCTCGGAGGGAGAGCGTCTTAAGTCTGTGCCTCTGTGCGAGATAAGTGTTTTATTGGTAAGGGGAAGAAGACCGTGAAGGCTGTGTACCTGGCACAGGGAGGTGGCTGGGCACTGTGTCCGAGTGGCGGGCAGCAGGCCTCTCCTCGGAGTGTCCTGTGCTGTAGCCGAGCTGGGCTCCGCCACATGCGCGGTTAGGAGGGGCCCAAGAATGGCCGTGACTGGAGGGCACCGGCTCTACCTCCACACTTGAGACACACTGTGCGCATGAAGGTGCATGAGGGGGCGCTGGGTGTCTGCCGGCCTGTGGAGCCCTCCTCGGTGAGCACCGAGGCCAGTGGCCATTGCAGGGGGCGGGCCGGGGGGGCAGGCAGCACCAGCCTGAGTGGGCCTCTGCCTTGGTGACGGTGGAGGGAAGTGTCAATGTGTGTGCCTGTGTGTTTACTCGTTTTTTGGGGGCAGATCACGTTACGGCCCTTGAAACAGAAATACGAAATCTAAAGCATAAATTTAAAACCTTGGAGGAACAAGTAGAAGATGTGTTAGATCCTTCAAAGAGGTCCTCCCCTCACACCGACTTTCAGCCCAGCGTCTACACCTCGGCCGAAGTCCCTGGTAAGAGTCCTTGTCTCGTCCTGTTGCATGCTCTGCCCCAGTAACACTACCTTTGTTTTGACTGAAATATAAACCCTACAGAAAGTCTCAAAATGCAAACGCACAGGTCAAAGAGTGGTCACAAAGCGTAGGTCCCTGTCCCTGCCTCCAGGAGTGCCCGGGCCAGGCCGTTGTCAGAGCGTTTACACTGGTTCACCTCTCTGCGTGGGCGCTCCCTGCCGCACCCCTGCTCCGACAGCACGCAGACGCCCCCTCGCCGCGGCTGGGGCGCTGGCTGGGTGGGGGGGCCCACCTGGGGGGCCGGGGGGATGGACGCAGGCCAGGCAGCGCCCTCGAGCTGCCCAGCAGGTGGTTTACGAGAAGCGAAGGGAGGAGCAGGACACTCCCCCTCTCGGTCACCCTGTCTCTGCTCAGGAGCTGGCTGGCTTCCCAAAGCTGGGATCTTTTATTTCTTTTTCTTGTGTCACGTTTCTTGGCTGGCATCTCCGGTACGATGTTGGTAACGGCTGGCTTTCTTCCTGATCCCAGAGAAAAATTTTCAACGTTTCACTTTAGTATTTGGTGAGGATTTGGGGGCTCAGGGTCCGAGTAAGGAAATTGCTTTCTCTTCCTGTTGTTGGCAGATCTTTGTTTTTTATTGTGCTTCTGTCAGTTTTGCTTAATGTGTTTTGAAGCCTTGTTGTTGGATGCGTACAGCCCTAGGATTGCTGTGTCTGTGACGGGGACGGACCCTTCTGGGGTCCCGGAACGGCCCTCTCTTCCCGGCGCTCTCCTTGCCCCGGGGTCCGCTCCGTGTGCTGTTGGTCACTAACCTGGCCTCCCCCCGGTGAGTGTCTGCTCGGCGTGTCTTCGGGATCCTTTCCCCTTTTAACGTGCTTCTACCACATTTGAAGTGAATTTCTTGTGGACAGCACATAGCTAGGTCAATTTCTGAAATGCATTTTGCTAATATTTCTAACCAGTATACTTACACCGTCCATGCTTGCACTTGTGTGGAGTGTAAGCAGCCGCTTCCTGCCTGTTTTCTGTCTTCCTGCTCGTGGGTCATCCGCACGTTGTTGATGTTCCATTGTCACGGGTCTGTGGTTGCTGAGGGCACAGCTTTGGTGGCTGCGGGACCACGGCCAGCTCCTGTCCACACTGCACAGCCTCCCTCAGAAGGCGGAGGTCAGCCTGCCATGCACGCCCCATGCCCACGGGGCTGTCACAAACCCCGCCTCTCCTACGTCAGGAGCTGCTTCAGGCAGGATTATCGCTCTTGCTTTGAACTGTCAAACATACTTTAAAAAACTCAAGAGGAGGGCGCCTGGGTGGCTCAGATGGTTAAGCGTCTGCCTTCAGCTCAGGTCATGATCCTGGAGTCCTGGGATCGAGCCCCGCATCGGGCTCCCTGCTAGGTGGGGAGCCTGCTTCTCCCTCTGCCTCTGCCTCTCTCTCTCTCTCTCTGACTCTCATGAATAAATAAATAAAACATTTTAAAAAAATAAAAAAATAAAAAACTCAAGAGGAAAGGTGGAGTCTGTGACATTCAGTTGGACACCTGCCCTTTGCACGTGTCCTCCCTGCGTCCTGATGTTCCACGTTCTGCGTCATCTGCTCTTAGGGCAGGTCTGCTGGTGCCAAGTCTTTCCGTTTATCCGAGAAGGGAAGGTATTTGCTGGTGTCAGAGGAGGAGCTTTCAGCCCTTAATCCAGTGGTGCCACTTCCTCCGAGAAGGCCTCTGCCATCCAACCCTTTCCCCGACCAGTCGCAGGCCGAGTCTGTTGCTCGGGGCAGGTATCTGATGGTGCTGTATCTGGACATATGCTTCTTTGGCTTATCATGTTGGGCATTGACTCTGAAGGTTATTATCTTTGCCAGATTTGGGGAGTTTTCAACCATGACTTCTGCACGTGTTTTCTCGACTCCGTGCTCTTTTTCCTTTTGGGAGTCTGACGACAAAACCCTCGCTCTCGTGTTCTCCCCCCCGGGTCCCTGTGGCTCTGTGACTTCTTTCCGTCTGCTTCCTCTGTTGTTCAGATGGACAATTTCTATGCCCCCCCGTCTTCAAGCCCCCAGGCCTGCTGTCACCTCCGTGCTGCTCCGGGGCCCTTCGGGGTACTTTTATTTCGGTTTCAGTTCTAAGATTCCGTTGTGTTTTTCTTTATCTTTGATTGCTCTGCTGAAACTTTTCTCTTTCCATTGTTTTAAGACTGTTGATACATTCTTGCTTTAGGTTCCTTGTTCCCTATTCCGCATGATCCCGACATCTGCCCTCCTCAGTGCTTCATTCAAGTTGGGGTTTTCCTGGTTATCGGTGTGATGAGAGACTCTGGATTGTGACATGCACATACCGAGTGGATGCTCTGAAACTCCGATCTTTATGACGTCTGTTTTATTCCCCTTCTGCGCTCTCGGGCCCTCCACCTTGCTTGGGCACAATGCACGTCTGTGTCCTGGCCCACTCTCTCGGGCTGGGTCTGAACGGCCACTTGGTCTCCAGAGCCTTTGCGATGATGCTGTTCTGCTGTGCCCCTCCTTGTGTGCCGCCCGAGGCCATGGTCCTGGCACTCCCCCCCCCCAGCCCCCAGCAGAGCTCAGCGCGCAACACTTTGGCTGTCTCCATGCTGCCTGGTTTCCATAGGGGCCCCTCGGGGACTTGGTGCAGAGTTAAGGAATTCCTTTCTCTGCCCCCCCCCCACACACACCGCACCCTCCACACATGCTCTTCCCAGGAGGGTGCAGGCGGCTGGTTCAGATGAGCCTGTGTCTGCACCAGGCCCACCTGCAGAGTCTCCCGGCCCTGTGGCCCTTCCACTGCAGGGAACAGGCCTGGCTGGGGCCGTTCTTGGTCCGAGCTCCCTGGTGCATCTGGGTTGTGGCTGCTCCAGCATCAGAGCTGGGAAATACAGGAAGGAAAACGACGTGGAGCCCACTGCGGAGCATCCCCAACCCCGGAGCCCCTGGCCCTTGCCCGCCAGGCCTCCTCTCACAGTCGCTTTGGGCTTTCAGCTGCACCGAAGGAGAGGGACGGGGCACGCACATGCTCTCTTGTCCAGAACAGCGAGCTTGCGTTGGTTTTTGAACGTTAAACCAACTTTACGTCTCTGGAATAAACTCAACACGTGATATATTCTTTTACTGCTATTTTACTGAGAATTAATACGTTTATGTTCGTGAGTGACATTGGCTGTACCCTTTCTTTCTCATGATGCCCATTGTCAAGTTTTAGGACCATGGGTCTGGCCTCAAATGTGTTGGGAGATGTTCCCTATTTCTGTTTTCTGAAAAAGTTTATATTAGGGCGCCTGGGTGGCTCAGTTGGTTAAGCGACTGCCTTCGGCTCAGGTCATGATCCTGGAGTCCCGGGATCGAGTCCCGTATTGGGCTCCCTGCTCGGCGGGGAGTCTGCTTCTCCCTCTGACCCTCTTCCCTCTCGTGCTTTCTATCTCTCATTCTCTCTCTCTCTGAAATAAATAAATAAAATCTTTAAAAAAAAAAAGTTTATATTAGACCTATGTTAATTTTTCCTGAACCAATTAATAGAATTCAACTCTGAACCCTTTGGGTTTAGGATTTTCCTTGTGAGAAGGTTTTAAAGTGTGAATTCAGTTTTTTTCACAGTAAAGGACGATCCCGATTTTCTTTTTCGTGTGTCACTTTTTGATACTATATTTTACTAGAAAATTGTCCATTTCATCTAGATTTTCAAAAATTGCCTATAGTATTGTCCTAAGAATTTTATTTTATTTTACTGTAATTTATTTATTTGAGAGAGAGAGAGAGAGAGAGAGAACAAGAGCGGGGCTAAGGGGCAGAGGGAGAAGCAGGCTCCTCCCTGAGCAGGGAGCCTGGATGCAGGACTCGACCCCAGGACCCCAGGATCCTGACCTGAGCCAAAGGCAGATGCTTAACCAACTGAGCCACCGGGCGCCCCTGTTTTTAAATTTTTTAAAAGATTTATTTATTCATTTGAGAGAGAGCACACGCAAGCAGGGGGAGGGGCAGAGGGAGAGGGAGAGAAGCAGACTCCCCCCTCAGCGCAGAGCCGAAAGCAGGACTCGACCTCACAACCCTGAGATCATGACCTGAGCCGAGATCAGGAGTTGCACACTCCACCGACTGAGCCGGCCAGGCGGCCCTGCGTTCCAGAAATTTTGATAAGCGGTGCAGTAATGATAATTCAGATCAGAATAATTTCTAACTTCCACTGATCCCTTCTTTGAGCTATGGTCGTAGGAACATTTCCCCAATTCCCAAGCGACTGGGAGGCTGGTGCAGACCAGCCTCCGCCAGGCACTAGGTGGCAAGGCCGTACTGTTTTCCTGCAGAGATTCCTGCTTCCTTGACATGAGGATGAGACTTCATCCCAAGAGCCTCTCAGTCTTTGTGGGGACCTGGCCCCTTCCACTCAGCTCTAGAGCGTCTTCACTTCCCAGTGGACGTACAGTGACAGTGGGCATCCCTAGGGAAGGGCAGTGAAGCGTGCACCTCTGTTCTGGACGGCACAGCCTCTACTCCCAGGACCTTCCCTGAGGCTTTAGGAGACCTGAGCCTGACAGAATCACTCTTTCTGCAGGAGGAGCTGCGTCAGCTGATGGTTCACCCATTGGGCTAGCACTCAGGAGGCTCAGGGACAGGGCACACCTCACGAACTTCCTGGTGGCCCGACTCAAGCGGAAGGTACGGCCTCCCCTTGACACTTGGGCTGGGCAGGTCTTCTGGCTGTCACATGTGGTCCCTAGAAGGCGCACAGGAAGACCTGGAAAATGAGCCCAGAGCCTGTACTCTCTGCCGCGCACAGGGCTGCTACCTGCCAGGGGGTGTGACACGCCGCAGCGTGCCCAGGTGCTGAGCTGTGGTGGGAGCAGGGCCAGCAATGAGCGTGCCCAGACGCCCCGGGAGCCTGCGTGGGGTCAGGCCACAGTCAAGCACTGGGCCAATGCCGCTGCTTCCTGGGACACGAGCTCTCCCCTGTCACATGTGTGCCCGTGCTTTATTGCTACAAATTCATTTCTCTTTTTTTAGTGTGTTTTTCATTGGGGTAAAATATACAAACATAAAGCTTACAGTTTTCAAGCACATGTTCAGTGACATTAACTATGTTCACAACACTGTAAATGTCACCACCATCTATTGTGCTCAGAACTTTTCCATCATCTGAACAGAAACTGTCCCCATTCAGCCCCAGCCCCACACCCCTTCCCCTGGGGACATCCGTCCTGCCGCTGGGCTGGATGACTCTCCTGGGACCGGGGACCCACGGCAGCTGTCCTTTTGTGACCAGCTCATTTCCCGCAGCACCATACCCTCGAGGTTCCTCCACAGGTGGATGGGGACTCCCCTTCCTGGCCCTCTCTCTGCCTTCCGTGCTCGTGCTCGCTCCGGCCTGTCCCTTAGCTCCCCCCCAAAGCCATGGCCTCACCCCCCCACCACACCACCTCCTGCCCCAAGCCCGGATTGCCCCCTACTGGTTAGCTGCATTTTCTGCACGTGTTTGTTTCCGCCTAAACTGGGTGCAGGAAGGGGTTTTAGGCCCTCTGCCTCTGTCCAGACAGTTTAAGGCCTGGATGCTCCCCAGCCAGCCTTGGGGTCCAGTGCAGGCTCTACCACAGGCACCCAAGTCCACACTGCAGGGGACAGGTGTGGGGAGCAACTGCATTAAGCCAGAGACCAGAGACTGACAAACGCATTTCCTTTCTGATCCGCCTGCAGTTTCTGCTGGGTGCCTCTGCTTCCCTGCCCTCCTACCCTCCTTCCTAACATTGCCCCTGAAACGGCCTCCCAGGTGCTGCAGCGACCCCTGGACATGGACACCATCCAGCACGAGCTTCCCCGTGAGGTGGACCAGGTGCACCTGGAGGTTTCAGAGCTGCGGAAGCAGGTGGCTGAGCTTGAGGAGCATCTTGGGAGCAGGCCACAGTTGCAAGCCTTGGACAAGGTGGCCCCTGGGAAGGAGGTAGGAGCCCTGTGCCGATTGCTCCTGCCACTGCTGTCCTGTCTGGGGCCTGCTGCAGAAGTCACTGGAATGGCCGTCTGCAGAGCCTTCCTGGGCCCCTGGGGTGCTGCGCCCCGCTCTCCTCCACTTGCGCCTCGGCTGGCTTCCGTGGTCAGACCTGGTCCGTGACCTCCAGGCCTTAGGATCCTGCCACTTAAAAGTCCAGCATAGGATGGGGCACCTGGGTGGGTCAGTCGGTGAAGCGTCCAACTCTTGGTGTCGGCTCAGGTCACGATTTCACAGTCATGACATTGAACGCCATGTCAGGTTCTGCGCTCAGTGGCGAGTCTGCTTGAGATTCTCTCTCTCTGCCCCTCCCCCCTCTCTAAAGTAAAGAAACAAGTCTTAAAAAAAAAAAGTCCAGCGTGGGAACCACCCATATGAAGAGGGCTGTTCTGTTTCCTCTAAAAGGGAGTCCCTGACTCTTGCTAGGAGGGCCCTGAAATTGAATGCAAAATTGGGTTTCTCCTTCGAGAGGACCCTTGTGGGGGATTCGCAGAGTGTTTGAGGCCGCCACCCCTTCACTCGTGGCAGTGGGGCTTCCATCCTGGTCCTGGCACCTGGTGTCCAGCGGGCTCTGTGGCTGGGCTAAGCCACGGTTCTGAGCTGTGGAGAGAGCCCTACAGCAGCCGTCCCCACAGATCTGACACACAGGCCGCTTCTCTTCTTACCGACGGCTGTGATGGGAAGGCTGTTAAGCGCACACTTTCTTACTCTGTCAGTTACCTGTGGTGACCTGGGTCACCTGTGATTATCTTTGGTGACCTGTGGTACCTGCAGTTACCCACGATGACCTGCAGTGACCTGTTACCCCTAGTAACCTGCAGTGACCTGTGTTACCTGTGGTGACCTACAGTGACCTGTGTTACCCATGGCGACTTACAGTTCCTGGGTTATCTGTGGTGACCTGCGGTGACCTGTGTTACCCGTGGTGACGTACAATTCCTGGGTTATCTGTGGCAACTTACAGTTCCTGGGTTACCTGTGGTGACCAGCAGTGACCTGTGTTACCCGTGGCGACTTACAGTTCCTGGGTTATCTGTGGTGACCTGCGGTGACCTGTGTTACCCGTGGTGACGTACAATTCCTGGATTACCCGTGGTGACTACAGTTCCTGGGTTACCCGTGGTGACCTCTGGTGACCTGCGTCACCCAGGGGGGCCTGCAGTTACAACTGTACCCTGGTGTCTGGGAGGCGTGGAGAGCTCTCTGGCAGCAGCAGCGGTGTAGACATAGAAGGCGGTGCTGAGGGGCGCCTGGGTGGCTCAGTCGGTTGGGTGGCTGCCTTTGGTTCAGGTTCTGATCCCAGGTTCCTGGGATCGAGCCCCACATCCGGCTCCCTGCTCAGCAGGGAGTCTGCTCCCTCTCCCACTGCCTGGCACTCTGCCTACCTGTGCTCTCTCTCTACCTCTCTGTCAAATAAATAAAATCTTAAAAAAACAAAAAAGAAGAAGGCTGTGCTGAGAGGCACAAGGGGGACTCGGCTCTAGGATGATGGCCGGCCCTGAAGGACTGGAGGGGAGGGGAGGTCCACTCCTCTCTGGCTCAGGAATGACAGGAGGGCCCGGGCAGGCCTAGGGATGGACGGACAGGTGAAGAACAGCAGCAAAGGGGAGGCCTTCAGGTCACCGGGAAGTGGGACCCAGAACCACCTGCACTGCCCTTAAGCAGACACCGCCTGGAGAGCCAGAGCCCCGGCCCCGCGCCAGGCCTCCCTCCACCCTGCAGCTCGAGGACACCATCCTGGCCATGGGGCCATATAGCCACGCAGGCAGGGGGGCAGCACGTCTGCCTTACCCCGTGTCCACCATTCATTCCAGGTGCTGCCCATGCTCGGCCCTGAGGTCAGCAGCACTAGGGGTTCTGTTAACAGCCTGGTTCGCAGATCCTGCTTGCTTAGAGGGAAGAAATCACGTGCATCAGCCGGATTTAAAATAGAGATGTTTAATTCTGTGACTGACAGGCTGGAGCTGAAATGACTGTGACCTTGGGGAGAAATCCAGTGGCTGGTCCCTGTGCTCAGACCAGGTCTACTGCAGGAGGGCCAGCACCTTGGCGGCCCAGGAGCCTTGAGCGCCACCAGTGCTGAGATCCTGGTTTCTGAATTTCTTGCTCTGCTGAGAGGAAGCAGGATAAGTGGCGGACTCCACCATGGACTCATGGAAATGGGGCAGAAGGATTCAGGCACCGAAGGGCTGCCAGGCATTGAACACACAATAAGCGGGACTCCCAGCTCTGTGCTAACTAGGAGAGGGAGGAGGGAGGAGGGCTGGTCCTTGGCCAGAACATCGTCTGCAGACACGGAGGGCGCGTACGCCAGGAAGCCATCCTAATGCACAAAGGAAAGCAGGGCTGGGACTCAGTGTCTCCCACTGGCGGTGGCTCAGTTACAGGGAAAAGAAAACTTTCCAGGGGGCAGCCTGCAGACACTCGTTCACTGAGGGATGCACTCGCGGACAGTGGGGCAGAGGGATGTGCTGGGCTTCAAAGCCGGCTGGGGGGGGGGGGGGGGGGAGAGGAGGGGGCTTGCAGCCTCACCGCTGACTCCAGCCAGGAGTGATGCGCTGAAGTCAGAGTGCCCACACTGTGGAGAGTGTGCCCATCAGGAGCCTGCAGGGACCAGGGAGACAGATGTCCTGTGGGGTCCTGTGCCCTGGGCAGGAGAAACAAACTGTAGGACACAATTGGACAGTTGGTTTGTGTGTGGCCCGTGTGTTGGGTCATAGTGTTGTATCTGTGGTAAATTTCTGGTTTTCATAACTGTGGTTACAAAGAGAATGTCCATTTTTAGTAAGCATGAACTGAAGCATTGAGGTGTAAATGAGCATGATGTCTCCACCCTACTGGCCGTGGTTCAGGAAGAAATGCATATGGCACGTGGGACTGGTGGCGACGAAGCAGAGGGGCCGGTGCCACCACGGCACTGCCTGGCAGCTCTCGTGCGAGTCCGACATTCTCCCAGGTGGAGGCCGGTCCCCCACTCCCGAGCCCAGGACAAGGGCCCGTGCGGAACTCAGAGCCCCCTCCCCTGCAGGCAGCAGAGACCACTGCCCGACCGGCATCTGTGGTGTCTCCAGTGACCCCCCAGCCTGGTGAACTGACTGAGACACGGGGTTCTCCCCGCCTCCTGTCTGGTGCTCCACCCAGTCCCCTGGGCACAGCGCGACTGACGCTGGGCTCCACTGGGGGGCAGTGTTCGCTAGCCCTGCCTGCACCCCTGGGAACCTCCAGAAGGACTGGGATCCCTAACGTCCACCGCGAGAGCCGGCAGCCCTGGCAAGCACCCCGCTGCGCCCCCGAGTTGGGGCGTGCTCTGATGTCAGCCTCCGTGGGGCACCGTCGCTGCTGCCCTTGGGAGCAGGACCCTCCCTCATGAGGACCCCTCTACTGGCCAAGCCCTCTCTGGCCAGGATTCTGGGAGCAACCCCTGAGACGGCGAGGACAGACAGGGCGAGCGTGGGGGGCCACGGGGGCCCCGAAGCACACAGTGGTTTGGGAGTCCCGGAATGCGTCCCGATGAGTGTTACATGGTGGGTGTGGGCAGAGACTTAAGAAAGGCGTCAGAGTAATGGCATCAGAAACAGAGCCCCGGGTGGGGGCCCCTGGCTGCCTACACCTACTCGCCGCATGCAGCCAGGTGACTAGGGCACCCCGGCCAGCCGAGACCCCGGCCACGGGCCCTGCTGAGGGGTCGGCTCCCCGCTCGTGCCGGGGCGCTGCCTTGTGGGCTGGGGTTTGCTCTCAAAAGCGACCTTTCTCTTGAGAGTCTCAGCGTTGCAGAGTACCTTTCCTCACTTAAAATGGCACAGGAGACTCCCAGTGTCATGTTCCTGTGGAGGCCGGGCCTCCGACCTCCCTTCCTCGAGGTCTGTCCCAGCCCCTCCACGGGCCCAAGGACCCCAGTCACATCCTGGGCCCTCAGGAGGGTGCAGGCAAGGCCAGTGCCCTGCGTGGTTGAGGGCAGGCCCATGTTCCACCACAGGGTGACGGGGTCAGGATTTGGGTGCAGGGGCTCTGTGGCCCCAGGGCCGTCTGTCACTCTCCTCTGCTGCCTCCCCCCATCTCTCATCCTGCCCAACTAGCCTGTGGCATGTGCTGGATGCACCCCTGTGTGGCCAGCATGGCTCCAGGCCACCTGAAGAACACGGGCGCCTGCCAGCCCTGCAAAGGCATACCAGGAAATGGGGCCAGGACAGAACGTGCTGGTCTGTTCCAGGGACGCCAGGCTGGTTCCTGTTCTGGCTCCAGCTCATGGGGTCAAGACAGGGCACAGTGCAGCTTTTCACGGGTGTCAGGAGCCGCCGTGCCTAAGTAGGCCACTTTGGGTCCTTGGACTCCAGTTCTTCCTGGGCCTCTGTCTGGCACACACATATTTGTCTTTTCCTTTCTCTGATTCTCCACACCCCCTCATTCCGAACACCGTGCAAGTGTGAGTGCGTGTCGGTAGGGGGCCATGTTGGCCATGACCCAGCACAGCGACCCCACAGCAGAGTCCAGGCAGGGAGGAAGTAGTGGAGGCACCTGCCACAGGCTGTCCATCAGGCCTCTGCCAGCCCCTTCCACACCAGGTGACCCCAGCACCTGTGACCCACGTACCCAGCCCATAACCCTGGTGCCACGCAGGGGTCCTGGGGGCCCATTGGAAGTTGGGCATGGGTCCCAAGTGGTTCCTCATTGTCCTCACTAGAAAGACACAGGCTTGGTGGGGGCCGCAAGGGGCCAGAAGCAGGCCTGGCCCAGGGGTTCGTGGCCTTTGTTCACCCAACTTGTGGAGGAGGAGGCGTCCATGGTGTGAGGTCCCCGTCTCATTGCCAAAGCACACTGCTTATCCCTTTGTGCTCCAGTGGTGCAGGCTCTGCACCCACACCCACTCACCCCTCTCCCACTTGGATGGCTTGTCTTATGGGCTGTCTACCTGTGGCTTCGTTCACAGGTCCGTGAAGACCAAGGACCCACAGGGACAGAGGACCAAGGGCCACAGCCCCCACAGGCCTTGTCTGTGCCCCAACTCCAGAGAAAACTAAAGGAGGCAGCCCAAAAAATCCTCCGCCTCTGCCTGGAGAAAGAACAGCTCCTGGAGATGGGGAACAGGCTCCGTGCAGAGCTGGGCCACCATGCCCCAGGTGAGTTTGGGAGCTGTGCCTTGCACTGCCAGGCTGTGGGGTCAGGGGGCCCGGGGGCCTTCCCAGAAGGGCTTTCTTCTTGCCTGCTCCTCTGGAAGGGTCAGCGGGGGGGACCTGGGAGGCGGGAGGAGAGAAGCTTTGCTGCCCTGAGGGAGGGTCTGGCCTGACTTCTCAGGCAGGAAGGAGGGAGAACAGAAGCTGCCCTTGTGGAGTAAAGCCGGGGTCATGAGTCACGGGCACAGAGCAGAGCTTCATCCTGCGATGGGAGTTCCGTGAACCCGTGCCTCGGGCAGCATTTGTGAGAAAAATACTGCACTTAGCAAAACAGGCGGCATTTCTGTGCTGCATTGTGGGGAGCCGCGGCCACTGTGTTCTCGGCCGGCTCTGCCCAGACTTGTCGCCAGCAGCCGCTGTGTGTCCACTGGGACCCGGCCTGAGACCTCCAGCTGCCCACAGGTGTCTCAGAGGGCCCTGGTTCCCAAGAAAGACAGGCAGCGCTCCAACCAGACTAGAAAGAGGCGTGCCCTTGTTCCAAGCATGCAGGTCAGGCCCAGGCTGCCACAGGTCAGGCCCAGGCTGCCACAGAGGACACAGAAGCCCAGGGCTCTGTCTGCTGCAAGCTGTGCTCAGATAGATACTGTCTTTGCCGATAATTTATTCAACATGGGTTCACCGCAGGAATGATAATTTATAATAACAATATTTCATAAGCCAGTAGCATACAGGATACTGTCTCCTAATAAGCCAATAAGGAAATAATATGCTCCGAATCAATGACAAATAATCACACTACTGTTCTATGCAAGGAGAGATAGAAGGAATAAGGTCCAAATTTAGCTGAGGTGCACCTTTCTACCAGTGGGTTCTTGGAAGGGTCGGTATAGAGTCATCCGTTGAGAGCAGACGTCCAGCCGCCAGCGCCAAGCCAAGGCCCCTGTTGCTAGAGGACCATAAGCACCAGTGTTGGTGGGCAAGATGATGTCCTTCCTGGGGTGGCGGCATGGTTGTCCCCACGGCCAGCCAGGAGTAGCCTTGCCCAGACCGAACGCTCCTGGCTAGTGCCCAGAGCGAGCCACTGGCCACGTGGCTCTCGGACCACCTTCACAAGCAGGCCCTCTCGTTTCCCTGTGGCGCCCCCATTCCTCATGCTGTATCCCCGCACCTTACATGGCTTCTGCCTCTCCATGCTTTTCCAGCAAGAACTTTGAGATACTGTGATGATCAGAGATGAGGGACTTTGGGTTCCACCCATGGTCGATGGGAGACAGCCATTCCCTCTCTCTTGCCCATTGTCTAAAAGTGGAGGTGATGTTGGAGGGCTGCACACCCACCAACTACTCTGCTTTAAAAGTAGAGCCCAGGGCACCACAAAGGGAACATCAGCAAAAAATGTTTCCTCTCAGCTATGGCCTTAGCTTCCCTGGGCAAGTCCTCCTGATTCCTAACTACCCAACGCAAGGAAAGGGAGGGGAAGGTTGGGCCTTGTGCTTCATCCTCAGAACTTCCCACAGCTAAGCCGTGTGAATAATAATAGTACTTTTTATTATGTTAGTGTTTTTGGTCTGAATATGAAGAGTAGAATTACCTCGTGAGTAGGGAGTAGGAAGCTGAACGTGGGAGAACTCAGGCCGCAGAGCAGGAGGGAGCTCCATGTCTCTGAGAGAGAGGGTGCAGACCACTGAGGAAATCTGAAGAGGAGGCCTGTGTTCAGAGCTGTCTTGCTGAGGGCTGCTGTGGGCCAGGGGCCCAGGGGCCAAGGTGGTGCCTCAGCTGCTCCAACCGTCTGCCGGTGTTTCCCGGTGCAGGCAGACCCCGGGGCTCACCTGCACCTGGCCCAGGGCGTGTCTGCCCGCAGCTGCTTTTGGGAAGGGCCCCATCCTCACAGGGAGGTGGCAGTCTGGCCCCTTCCCTGGCCGTGGTTCTAGCTGCCCCGTCTTCATCCCACATGCCCTGCCACCAGGGTCGGGCTCCCGTGCTGGCCCTGCCCCTCCCGCTCAGGTCAGGCCTTGGGATCTGCACTGACAGATGGGCAGACGGTGTGTGGCCCTGTGGTCAGGCTGCACCTGGCCCTCAGCCCGCTCTGTCCGCCCAGCGTGAGGGGGCACACAGGCTGTGGAGCGGCCCTCCTCTGAGTGCTCACCCCTCACCTCTGAGGTGGAGACTGCATACCACCCACTTGTGGGGCCTCTCCCTTTGTGCCGTCCTCCTGCCAACTCTGCTTTTCCCAGAAACCCCAGCTGCACACACCATCTGGATCTCGTGTGAAGCCAGCGTTCCTCAAAAGGTTATTTCCAAGCGTCCTAACATCGAACATGGTTATAAAGACTTGGTGTTTTAGAGCAGTTTTAGGTTCACACCAAAACTGTCGGGAAGGTACAGAGACTCCCCCCCAGCCTCCCGCGATCAACATCCCGCCGCAGTGGTGCGTTGATCACGATCCACAGACCTCCCCGACACACCGTCAGCACCAGAGTCCACACTTACCTCTGGGGTCTTCTTGGTGCTGGACGTCGTACAGGTTGGGACAGACGTGTCACCACACGTATCCACCACGGGGCTGTAGTTTTTTGTTGTTGTTTTTTTAAAGATTTTATTTATTTATTTGAGAGAGAGAGAGAGAATGATAGAGAGAGAGCACGAGAGGGGGGAGGGTCAGAGGGAGAAGCAGACTCCCCGCCGAGCAGGGAGCCCGATGTGGGACTCGATCCCAGGACTCCAGGATCATGACCTGAGCCGAAGGCAGTCGCTTAACCAACTGAGCCACCAGGCGCCCGGGGACTGTAGTTTCACTAGAAACCTCTGTGCTCCGCCTCCCCTCCCTGGCGGCCACTGACCTTCACTGTCTCTGTGGTTCTGCCTTCCCCTCGTGTCGCACAGCTGGAATCATGCAGCATGGAGCCTTTTGTGTTTCCTTATCATGTCATTTTCCTGATGAAGTTTTTGTTCATCAAGAAATGATTTGGGGGCGCCTGGGTGGCTCAGTCAGTGAAGCGTCTGCCTTCGGCTCAGGTCATGATCCCTGGGTCCTGGGATGGAGTCCCACGTCGGGCTCCCTGCTCCGCGGGAGGCCTGCTTCTCCCTCTGTCTCTGCCTCTCCCCCAGCTTGTGCTCTCTCTCTCTCAAATAAATAAAATCTTAAAACAAAACAAAACAAAACAGATTAGGGACCTAGCTTTAATTAGCTTGCTAACCCAACTACTTATTAGGCTTGTGCACATAAATACCAAAATCGTCACTTACATTTATTATTCATAATTACACACATCTAAAATCCTGTTGTAAAACTATCCTGATGTAGAAGCAGTGATTTTCAGTCATGTTGTGTGTCCTGCTTGACTCGACTTGTGTTGGGCTGGATCTCAGACACCAGCATCCCCCATGTGACTGGTGCGGGGGCAGTGCATGCGTTTGTCATCATCAAATGATTGTATTTTGACCACTTTCTAGAATGATGGCTTGGTTGCAACAAGAACCTAATGCTGGCATTTTCTTGCAACCTTTTTTAAAGCGAGTGTCCCAGTGTCCTCAGAGAAATTGGCCCTCGGTCAGGGCCCCATCCTTGGGGAGGGACTCCCTTTTCTCTCTGGATGCCTTTCTCCTGTGTTACCAGCCGGTGTCTGGATGGGATCAGTTTGCCTTAATTTAACCTGCTCAGGAATCGGTTGGTTTTCTGAAATCTTAAGACTTATGGTTGGTTGGTTGTTTTTCCCATTCTTTGAAATTCCCAGCCGTTGTTTCTTTAAATACCCTTCTTCCTATTTGTTTCTGATCTCTTCTGGAGATCGACCTCATTAGACCTACTGGAGATCTCTCCTCTCCTCGCCCCTCCTCTCCTGCCTCCGGGGGTTCCCCAAAGGTAACTATTTGGAGCCAGTGGATGGATTTCTGGGTCTTTACAAGGAGTTTACATATTGTGTTTGCTCATTCCTTTCCTTGGGTTTGATTGTTCTTTTCCTGATTTCTTTAACATTCACTTTATTCTTTCTTGTTTAGTGATTGCATTTTTTTAAGGTGTGAATTTTCCACCTGAGTACTGCTTTGGCTGTGTCTCAGGTTTTCAGGGACAGTATTAACAGTATTCCAGATAATCTGCCATTATGCACCCAGGTTTTCTATTTCTTTTTTTTTTAAGATTTTTATTTTATTTATTTAACACAGAGAGAGAGAGAGAGAGAGCACAAGTAGGCAGAGCAGCAGACAGAGGGAGAGGGAGAAGCAGGCTTCCCGCTGAGCAGGGAGCCCGATGTGGGGCCTCGATCCCAGGACCCTGGGACCATGACCTGAGCCGAAGGCAGTCGCTTAACCGACTGAGCCACCCAGGCACCCCCCAGGTTTTCTATTTCATTTGAGTTGTTTAGGAGAGTTTTAGAATTGTTATTTTTGTTTGTTTAGTTATTTTTAAACACGTGTTGAATCTGTTCTGTTAAGCCGCCTTATTATATATACTTACTAACATTCTTTCTAAGTTTATGTGTGTTTGTCAACTTGCACTGCCAAGAACCATGACTTTTGTGTTAAAATCTTGCCATGGCTCTTGTATTTCTGCCCCGCTCCACTTCCCCTCTTCCTGGGCTGTCATTTGGTGGGAAGTGCCCACGGCGGCCGCAGCTCAGCCTGGTTCAGGTTGTGTGCCGTCCTTTCTGATGTTCAGTAACAGCTAGTGGTATTTTTAATCAGGTGTTTAAAAGGGTTGTTTCCAGAAAGAGGTAAAATAGGGCTCAAATAGCTATGAAAATGGGCACAGGTTTAGGATTTTCTTCTGTTAATTAAACAGTGAGGGAGCCAGTCAGATGTTAACAACCAGCTCCAAGGAAAAGCCCAAACACAAATTTATCCAGAACAAAGAAACTGAATTACAAATGGAAAGTGAACTGGTTTTTCTAAGAGGGAGGGGATCACCGGTGAATAGTTGGAGGGCAAGGCACGAAGTGCACGCCCATCAGCGTGCAGAGCTGCAGAGTAGTTCAGACCCAGGGAGGCGGGCCCCACGGGTCCAAGGACATGCTGCACATAGTGCCATTTCCATCGAAGCACGCATTGCTTCTGACCCTTTCTCTGCTTTTGATAAAACCTAATCTCAAAGAAGGATTATTCGTGATCACTAACAAGCCTGGTCTGTTGGCCTGATTATTTCCATAGGTGTAGCAAGAATGTTAATTCACCTAGCACGCCTTCCTGAGTTTGCTTTGCTGGAAGTTTCCGTCAGGAGTCCACACTGGACTTTAAAAGTGTCCTGAGGCCAGGAAGCCAAGAACTCACCAGATTTCATCTGCTGGATGATTCTGAGCAAATTCCTTTCTTCTCAAGGTTTCAGAAATATCCTGAGCTCCCGGGCTTGCTGGAGGTGAACTTCCTAGCTCAGAGCTCCTGCTGGTGACCTGTCCTTACAACGACGTGAGGGTCATTCTTGACTCTGGCCCAGCAGGCAGGGCTCTGGCTGCACCATCCATGTGTCCAGTGAAGTCCTGGTAAAAAGCAGCACAGATTCTCAGGGAACCTGTGCAAATAAATGACCCTATTACCAAGAAGGGTTAAGAAACAAAGTCCAGCCGGGTAAATGTGTAGATCTAATTGGTTTTTATTAAGTGATTCATGAATCAGACGGCATCCCATGTAGCAAGTGGAGGGAGCTCCTCAGAGCTGTTTGAAATGGAAGCTTTTCATAGAAAGGAGGGTAGGGGCAAGAAGTTATTAGCAAAAGAACGGGATTGTTTAAGGCAAGATCACCTTCCCTTACAGGGAAGGGCTGGAGTCTTCTCTGGCCGAGAACCTCTTCTTCCTGCGGGATGGGGAGGACCCAGCAGCAGACTCTGTGCTTATTGGAGAAGTCCCAACAAGCAGTTACAGCTGCGCTTTTGGGGGAGCTTGAAACGCAGCTGGTCAGGCATGAAGCCTTGGTTTGGGACACGACCTACGTGATGCCACTTTGGGCCTGTGATTTGTGCCTTTTTTTTTTTTTAATCAACATGTGCTGGTTGCTTTATTTAATTTTTCACTTTAAAGACACCAGGGACGCCTGGGTGGCTCAGTCTGGTTAAGCGTCTGCCTTCGGCTCAGGTCATGGTCCCAGGGTCCTGGGATCGAGCCCCGCATCGGGCTCCCTGCTCCGCGGGAAGCCTGCTTCTCCCTCTCCTGCTCCCCCTGCTTGTGTTCCCTCTCTCACTGTCTTTCTGTCAAATAAATAAAATCTTTAAAAAAATAAAGACAACACGAAAATCAAAACCTTTGAACTTATACTTTTCAACCTGAAAGAAACAAAGAATAGCTACAATTTTAAAATAGCTTCAATAAAGCCAATATTATTCTTATGAGTGTCAATGGGCCACTGAAACAAGGTAAAATATAAATATCTTACTCTGTACTTAATCTAAAGTGTTGCCACTGAAATCAATTACCAACCTATGAAGATTGCAGACTAAAATGCTGATAATGGTCATTCAAAACTAAATTTATGGAATACCCCGGAAATAGGCTGAATTGGAACCTGCAGACAGTTTTCAAATACTCATTAGCAACACTTTTTTAAAGACATAGAATGCTATTGTTTTCATATAAATTGGAAGTTTTAAAATCATCTCCCTTTAGTGCTTTCAGTTGCTGCATGGCCATAAACCAAAGACAGAAATAATTTCAAATGATCACAGATACTGCTTAGGCAAAAATTGTCATGGGTCAGTACTTTTAATGTTGTGTACATCAAATTATAGTAAAAAGATGAACATAAACAAGATGCAGCCCCTGTATTTCCCTGCACGGCAGAATAGATTATAGGAAACCGAGCTTATATTCCACCACCAAGTCTGGCTCTTCCATTAGTTCACTTTGTGATGGCTCATTAAGAATATCTTCACATCCAGTAGTCTCATCATTACCCCTGAAAATACCCAGTGAAAGGTTGGAGCTCGGAAGAAGTGGAAGACCCTGAGCCTGCTGCTCTGCCTTGAATCCCATTTGTAATTTTATTTATTTATTTATTTATTTATTTTTAAAGATTTTATTTATTTGAGAGGGAGAGCACAAGCAGGGGGAGAGGCAGAGGGAGAAGCATGCTCCCCGCTGAGCGGGGAGCCGGATGCGGGACTCAATCCCAGGACGCAGGATCATGACCTGAGCTGAAGGCAGACATTTGACCATTTGGTCAAATGGGCACCCAGGTGCTCCTCCATTTGTAATTTTAGTGGAAAAATTCATTTTATCTTGTTTGAGCTGGAACTTTTTTTCTGATAATTCAAGGTGATGACTGGGCAAAAGTTCATTTTTTACACAAGGCCTTTTATGAAGAAGATCATGACTTTCAGAAGGTCTGCTTGCTGAGAGTTCCGTAACTGGAATACCATCCCTTAGCTGCAGCCCACAGCCTCTGGCGTGCATCTTCAGCTTGCTTCAACAGCCCCTCACAGCCCCTCACCAGCCAGCCTGCTGCTCACTTCCGCTTCTGGGGATGCCTCCTGTGAGTTGCTTTTTAACAAAAGTTTCTGAGTTCTGGAAGACTTAGGGAGACAAGAAGTTGCTGCTTAGAAATGCTTCCCTTCAGTTTACAGAAGCAGAGGCCTCTCGGGTTTCAGATGACAGCAGCCAAGAGGAAGGGGAAAGGGCCCTTCCATACCTAGGAAGTCGCGCATTCAGACTTCTACAAGTGTCCTCGGTGATGGATTCTTAATCCATTTGATTTGGTTTCTGGTCAGAGGAGTCCACGTTCTTCTGACTGGAGCTCCGGAAATCCTGCCTCAGAGTGGGCAGAGGGGTGCCTGTACCTACACATTCCGTGATCCCCAGGGGGTGCCTAAAGCCATGGACAGTACCAGACCCTATGTATACCTTGTTTTTTCCTAGACGTACTTACCCATGATAACGTTTATAAATTAGGTGCAGTAAGAGGTTCACAATAATAGCTAATAATGAAATAGAACAATTATAGCAATATATTGTAAATAAAGTTCCGTGACTGGGGTCTCTCAGAATCATCGCACTGAGCCGCACTCCCCTTTGTTGCAACGCTGTGAGATGAAGTGCCTACGTGACGGGAGGAGGGAGGGGAGTGTTGTGGGCCTGCGGCATCGGGTGAGGCTACTGCTGACCTGACGGTGGGGCGGGTGCAGGACCGTCTGTTCGCAGACCGCGGTCGTCCGCAAGTGGCTGGGACCACAGCTCGTAAACGGTCCTTACACACGGTCCTCACCGCAGAGCTTTCTCTCTAGTCTCTTTCTTCCCCCTCTTTTTTCTTTTCATCAAAGTAAAACTTTTCCCACAGCAACTGCAACATTTTACTGTCCCACCAGCAATGTGCGAGTGGTCTGACGTCTCCACATCCCGGGCAACACTTACTTTTTTCTTCGTCCATCCTAATGAGTGCAAAGTGGTATCTCACTGTGGTTTTGATTTTGATTTTGCATTTCCCTGATGACTAATGGTGTTGACCACCTTTTCATGGGCTTGTTGGCCATTTGTGTATCTTTGGATTCCATAGCTTTTAAGCTCAGGTATTAAAAACTAAGGAAAGGGCGCCTGGGTGGCTCGGTTGGTTAAGCGACTGCCTTCGGCTCAGGTCGTGATCCTGGGGTCCCGGGATCGAGTCCCACATCGGGCTTCCCTGCTCAGTGGGGAGTCTGCCTCTCCCTCTGACCCTCTTCCCTCTCGTGCTTTCTATCTCTCATTCTCTCTCTCTCTCAAATAAATAAATAAAATCTTAAAAAAAAAAACCTAAGGAAAAATTCATTTCCAAATTTTGTCTTTCCCATGTCCTTTTATCTCCTGGAAAAAAACACGTAGCACTTTAGGACCCATCCCAGGAGGTCCATGGTGGCAGAACTAATTTTGTAGCTACCCAGATGTTAACATGCAGTGTGGTCACCACCACCATCTTCAAGTGAATGGATTATAAGGTTTTAAAAAATTTCTGTTTCAGTACATACAGTACATAATTAAGTACATATCAGTACTAATACAGTTCATATCATTATTTATAACTCATACACACAAAAACCTCATTGGGGTCCTCAGTAAGCTTGTGTTTAACCAAGTAGATTTATTCTGAGAAATGTTAGATCAACAGTAATTGTATCTTGTAGTATGTGAGCTTAAAGATTAATTTCCAAGATTTGTAGGTAACTTAACCCAAACTGAGTTAACAAACGAGTATTCCTTGGCTGCCTAGATCTTTTCTAAGTAAGACAGGATGCTGAAGCATCTCTTACAAGCAGAATCTTTAAGTTTATTCACTTAACCTTCTGCTGCTTACTTTCCTGTGCTGCAGAGAGGGTATATCTTTGGGTCTGTTAGTGAACGTGTTGATTTCCAGCGCTTGGAGGAGGTGTGTCCAGAGTTGTGTGTGAGAGACCTTGCACTCTGCAGTCACAACAGCGGCTCGCGGCATCACCCCTACGTGCACTGCAAGAGAGGGCTGACTGATGTAGGCAGGAACGTGCTGCATTTCTGCAGTGTTTGTGTTTGGCACCAGGGACATCAGGAAGCGAGGTGCACACAGAAAGCAAACCATTTCGGAGCCCAGCTGTCTCGGTCGGTGGAGCATGTGACTCCTGGTCTCAGGGATGTGAGTTCAAGCCCCACGTTGGGCATAGAGCTGACTTCTAAAAAAAAGCAAAAAGGAAAAAAAAAGAAAAAGTAAATCCTTTCCTCCCCTTGTTTCTAGGGAAACCACCTCGTCACCCCCTGCCCACCCCTGAGGCCCAGAACCGTAGTGTCGCACCTGAGGCCCCTTTGGGACAGTTGCAACCCCATTTTGCAACTCAGGTAATACTCCTTTATCTAAGAAATATACTTCTAATAACTGTTTACTAATCACTTAAGTATTGTATTTCATTTCCAAAATGTAAAATCCAGTAAACACAATTGAAAAGGCCTCCAATTTTCGGCACCCAAGCATAGTTACCAGTAACATCTCCGTGTGTTTCCTGCTGTGTTTTTTTTTCTTTTTAGATTTTATTTATTTATTTGACAGAGACACAGCGAGAGAGGGAACACAAGCAGGGGGAGTGGGAGAGGGCTAGAAGCAGACTTCCTGCGGAGCAGGGAGCCCGATGCGGGGCTCGATCTCAGGACCCCGAGATCATGACCTGAGCTGAAGGCAGACACTTCACCAACTGAGCCACCCAGGTGCCCCCTGCTATTTTTTTTTAAGATTTATTTATTTATTTTAGAGAGAGAGGGAGAGAGAGAGGGGCAGAGGGAGAGGAAGAGAGAGAATCTCAGACAGACTCCCTGCTGAGTGTGGAGCCCGATGTGGGGCTCAGTCTCCCGACCCTGACATCATGGCCTGAGCTGAAACCGAAAGTCAGATCCTTAACCAAACCACCCAGACACCCCTCCTTCTTTGTTTTTTAAATTACCTAAGTAAATAATAAATATAAAATTATAAATTACATCATATGTATGTTTTACTGTTGCTTTACCCACCCGAGTTTTATTTATTTATTTATTTGAGAGAGAGAGAAAGCACACACACACAGAGGGAGAGGGAGAAGCAGGCTCCCCCCTGAGCAGGGAGCCCGATGCGGGACTTGATCCCAGGACCCTGGGATCATGACCTGAGCTGAAGGCAGATGCTTAACCAGCTGAGCCACCCAGGCTGCTTATTTTTCAAATCTTTACCAATATGATGGGTTAAAAAAATTTCATATTTTAGAAGTTTCTTGTATCCTTAGTGGTATTAAAGTCTGTAATCTATTTATTGGCCATATATGTTTCTTTTTTTGTGGGTTATTTATACACATGCTTTGCTAATTTTTCTACTTGTTTTTTGTACTTGTTAGTTTTTAAGAGTTCCTTATAAATGAACTGCTGCTTGTCCATTATAACCTTTCCCAGACTTGTCATTTATTTGCCTTTAGCCTTTCTTTGTTTTCTTAATCCACAGATAACTTTTTTTAATGTAACGAATTCTGTCAGTCTACTTTAATGATTTATTTCACTGTGTTTTTTCTCTATTCTGAGCTTAGGTAAATATCCACCCGTTTCTTCTAGCTGTTCTGTTTCACTAACTGTCATAGTACCCATAAGTAATTATCCTCCTTTTTCTCAGTAATTTTGAATTGATTTTTTTATCATGTGCTAAACATCTAAACTCTTGCTTATGTCTTTTTCAAATTAATTTTTTATTTTGAAATAATTTCAGATTTACACAAAGTTGCAAAAATAGCACTATACCCTTTACCTAGACTCACCAGTTGTTAACTGATCACTACATTTGCTTTGCCATTCTTTCTCTTCCCTCCCTCTGCCTCCCCCACATTATAGTTAGATAAATAGATAGATAGATAGATGATGGCTGATAGATGGATGGATGGATGGTTGGTTGGATGGGTGGATGGATGGATGGATGGTTGGATGGATGGATGGATGGATGGATGGATGGATGAACAGACGGATGGATGGATGGATAGGTGGATGGATGGATGG